TTAGATTTTTGACAGAAAAATAAAACAATTGCATAATATAACCTTAAATCAGAACTAGAAACTTATATTTTGCCGTTTTCTGACATAAAATTAGGTTAATTGCATAACATAACCTCAAATCACAGCTAAAAACTTAAATTTTTACTATTTTTGACATAAAATTAAGTCAATTGCATAACATAACCTCAAATCACAACTAGAAACTTCTATTTTTCCTATTTTCCTATTTGTTTAGAAAAAAATCTAGTCCAACCCCCAGTCCAATTCAAGAGTAAATAAAATACCGGACAATAAGAATAATAAGGTTGTAGTGGATGACGGCACTTGGGGACTACGGTAACGGCTATTACCCAGGACACACACCCCGCACTCCCCCGCGCGTCGCCACTTTCGTCTTTTTCGAAATCTCCCGGAATTGTTTCGGGGTGGATTCACTCGATGATTGAACAAGACATAGGCAGGTCTTGTCACATAAAATTAACTAGCCCCAATCTCGCACGTACCCACAATTTACCCCCACCTCCTCCACTTTCCTTGTCTTTGTAACAACTGTTACTATCATAAGAGTATGATACAAACCAAAAAAATCTACACCTAAAATTCTATAATTTTAGGTTATGTGTAAGTTGCACTACGCTGGTAGTGTGATTGGATTACGTTTAGAGGGTAATCCGGTTGACGAGCGTCAAGGGAGTGTGGCGCGAGGCGAGGGGTGTCGGCGCTGGCGACGACGACGGTCGTGCTTTAATGACCCCGCGCGACAAATCGAGCGCTTAACCTCGGGCCCCAGAGACGCTTCCGTGATTCACCGGAAGCCAGACATATTTTAGCGCCACTACCGCCACTGCCGCCGCCACCGTTCACATATTGTATAGACTCGGAAAAGCAGAAAGGAAAAGTTCCGAGCAGCTCGAAGCTGATTTATACCCATCTTATATTTTATGGGCCAGTTTGTTCCGGCCGTTATTATATTAGCCTTCGATACGATACTTTATCTAACACCCTTTACAACTCTTGACAGTTATGTGCAAAAGGGGTGGGGGCGCCACACTCTTATCCTGTTTATCAAATTTATCAAAATAATTTTTTTCTTAATAATTTAATAAATTTTACTGTATTTTAAAATATTAAACACCCTGTATCTCATAGGAAGATAGTCCGTGGTTAAGTGGCGAGTGTGTGGCTCGCTTGCCTCTCTGTCGCTTCGAGAGCACTCCGAGCAATGTGCAATAATCTCGACGATATCGAAAGCTTTTTCCGACGTTCCGGCGCGGCGCGCACATTTCGTATTCCGGGCTTGACCGACCGGCGAAAATAAGGAAATATCATTACCTGCGCGGCGCACGAGCCGAATAACAAGATGGCCGTGGGGGATAACGGTTAAGATAAGCTCATTACAATCGGCGGTTGCGTTCACCCCGAGCCAAATTACACATGTCTGCACTTAACCTCAACTATTAGCTACAGAACCACTAAAAAATAGCAAAAAATCATCAAAATACCGGTATTAATACCGATATACCGGTATTTTTTACTCCTAGTACCAATATTTTTCAACTACAATTAAACTCAATTTCATAAATACCGGTATACCGGTTATTGACTCAAAAAATACCGGTATTAATACTGATATACCGGTATTTCTTTGTTCCTAACATCGATATTTTTCAAACACGAAAAAATTTAATTTCATAAATACCGGTATTACCGAAATTTTCATTAAAAAATACCGGTATCAATACCGGTATACCGGTATTTTTATTCTCAAAACCAATATTTTTCAAATTCTTTAAAAGTTAATTTCCTAAATACCGGTATTTTGTTTCACCCTAAAAAACTACCGGTATTAAACACATTTTCACACATTACCACCTTTCAGTCGTTCCACCACTGGAGGTTAACTGATGATCATGACTTAACGGCCAACATAATAATCACCAGCCGCCGCCGCCGCAACAAAACCGTCCCCGGTGAGCGTGCGGGGTCGTTCGGGTGATAAATACGCGGGCGGCGGAGCGCGCCGGCATGTGATCATTATTTCGCGCACGCTTTATCTCGACTTCTAAACCGCACAAGGAAAACGCCGCGCCATTAGCGTGTCCTTTACCAAACGGTGGTGACCTTTACCTTTCACGCCGGGGCCTCGTTTGTTCGGCTTCATTATTTGACCAGCGCTCGGTCAATTAACTACGAGAAGAATGAAGAACCCAAGAAAACGGAAAAATCTAAAGAAAACGTGTGAAGACATCGTGTGTTGTTTGTTTGTTTTCTTCGGAAATTTTAACCTTAAAAACCATTCACGCTCCATTGGCGTGTGCATTGCAGATGATACCCGATGCCATCGGAGAGATAACAATGTCGGCGCGCATTGGCATACAGGATGCGCTCGAAATAATCGCCGGCTCCTTTCAAATTCTGATCAAATGTCTATGTGCGTCTATGTCTATGTCCTGATTCTCATTGCTGATTCCCTTACAACAAGCGAACGTAAATTCGTCCCGGCGTGCTCTGCCTGCAGGATGCAGAGACACATAACCCGAGTGAGGGTGCTGCTGGCCGGGCGACGTTAACTTTTTACGACAACAGACATTATGTGCCGGCCCCCGGATCCGATATATTTTATGGCCGATGTCCAGTCAATAAATAGCCATGAGGCCCCCCACCCTCCACCTTCCTGCCGGCACCTTCGGCGCGCCCGATAACCACCCCCTATTGCTTTCTTCTAGGAGGCGGAATACACAATATCTGAATATCCCGAGCAGCACCCCGAGAGAAGATGTGTCGTCTGTGCGCCTGGGGATCATGGCAATAATCAGTCGATGGGCCGTAATTAGATGCGGAGCGCATAAAACGGCCGCACTGACCGCCCGTCATCTGTTTTTTTACTGTTTCCGCATACTAATAAAAGCGACGGCGGCGGGCGACCCGCCGGCCGTTACGCGCAAATGTTACTTCGTATTTGCGTTTTCGTTGCCCCCGCGCGCCAGCACACGTTTATTATTCACAGTCGATGGCAATGTCTTCGCCTTTTACTTCACCGCACACTGCGCACAAAATAAAACTTTATAACCTCAAAATCGCGTGGAGTATTTACCAGCAAACTAGAATTTTGAGTTCAATACCGGTATACTGGTATTTATAAAATATTAAATATTAAAAAATATCGATATATGAAGAAAAAAATACAAAAAATGCAAAATACCGGTATAACAATATTAATACCGGTATTTCACACCCCTACTTGAAATATCAGTATACCGGTATTTATTGGAAGCAAATTCTTTTCAATAATACCGGTATTTGAAAATAAAAATACCGGTATACCGGTATTTATTAAATATTAAATATTGAAAAATATTGGAATTTGATGGAGAAAATATAAAAATGCAAAATACCGGTATACCGGTATTAATACCGATATTTCCCACCCCCTTTGCAAATACTTTCATTAAAAGTACATCAATGACCAAGCAACTTTATATTATGAAGATATTCCGAATATTAATGACGAACAAGATTAAAATATACCTTCGAGTAAGATACAACATGTGATGACTTTAAGAAAACTCAATATCTGTCGTCTAAAGACGCGGATGCGGATGAAGTAAAAGTCTGTGAGGTTATGAAAAGGGGGAGAGCAGCAGCGGCCGGAATCTCATCGTTTGAAAATTGATAAAACCCATTTATTAAGCGACGCTCCACTTAACTTAATGCCGCATTAGCATCAATAGCATCAATCGCTTTTGGGTATTAACGTAATAGAGGTTTATGGAAACATGAAACTGCTCGAAATAGTTTAAGACGGTTAGGGATAGCTGATTTAATGCAATATTGGTTGCATATATTCCATACAAGAACAAAAAATTGAATTTATTATGCTTACAATATAAATACCGGTATTAATATTTGTATACCGGTTTATTTTTTTAATACCGGTATTTTTAATAGGATATTACTTGAGATATATACCGAAATACTGATATTTTGATTGAAAAAAATACCGGTATACCGAAATACCGGTATTAATATCGGTATACCGGTTTATTTTTTAAATACCGGTATTTTTAATATGATATTAGTTGAGAGATATACCGCAATATCAATATTTTGATCCAAAAAATACCGGTAAACCGAAATACCGGTATTAAACAAAATATTTCCAAAAAATAAAATTTTTTCAAAGTGATATACTTGTCTTTTGATTTACCATCACAAAACTATATCTCGAAAGCGACGCCAAAAACCATCGAAGACGAAAAAAAGCACGGATAGATTTTCCTCAATGGATTTCGATTATATTTTATGTGCGCCCCTGAGCTTATGCACTTACGGTGTGTTTTATGCCGCCAATAAAACGTTCCGTCTGGATATGGCTGTTGTTTTTATGAAATATGATCGCGGATCAACTCTCAAAGCCTCAAAAAGTGAAAATTGCGATTTATTAAAATCTCCGCGTGAAACTTTGGTTGCCTACCGTCAAATCACAACTCTAACATCCTCCGCACTTATTTATTTTTCTTTTCTTGTAATTTATCGACACAAACAGCGCGTTATTGACTTTTCTACGCTCCGCATGTGTTCGTAATCCCAACATTATGTCACAAAACAAAAGTATAAGTGTATCAATTGATTGGCTTTCTCTTCGAGTACGATTTCTTATTGCTATCGAAAAACCATCTCCAGACACAACTTTTCTTTCTCTGTGTGTATGTGAGTTGTTTGTTGGAAGTGGATTTCTCTCCAGAGGAGATTTCCGCATTTCCGCATTCCGAAATTGTGTCCCGCTTTAACGAACCCAATTCGCACCCTCCGACGCCCACGAAGAAGAAGAGGTATCACAATGCGCATTCCATAATGCAAGACGCACGCCGTCAGATTGACACATATTCCACCCTCGCACGCGACCCTACAACCTCCCCTGGCGCGTCTGACGTCACTAATTGCACAAGCAAACGTCACACGTCGCCGGATGCCGTGTTTGTCGAGTTGCCACCCTCGAAATTTTATAATCTAATGAGTAACGACAATCCGATTGGCGCCGAGCAAGAAATTTATTCGCAAATATTTGTATTTGGCTTCACTTTCAACTCGCCGCCAAAGATTATTATGCATGCGTTGCATTATTAAAGTATCGATGAATTAATCAATTGTTTGTTTGGGTTTTGTTTCATGTACCGCAAAAGAAGTAAACAAATTAATTTTACGCGTTGTGAAAATAAAATAATATCGAGACACAAAGAATAAGAATAAGAAAAGAAGATGAAAATGAATCAAACCTGGTTTACGAAGTTCTGGATGCTATGGGGTGGATTGTCTTAATTTCCGGAAAATCCTGGAATACTCGTAGATTATACTATATCGACGGCCACTTCCTCCCGCTGTCCAAACTCCCGGGTCACAATAAATCTGTTATGTCGATTTAATTTATGAGGGGGGTCAAAGTTGGTATTTATTGCCTGTAAATAAGAAAAATCAATTAGTGTGAGCAATTAGATTAAAATATAAAATTTTATTTACATTTTTTTTAATATATTTTTGTATTAATAAATATTAAATACAATTTATTACCTTTTTACCGACAACTCGCTTGCAACACCGAACGAAAACTAAATAAATATTGCAAATTTACACGCAGCGGCGTCTTTCTTATCTTTGATAAACTGGTTTTATAATCAAAAACTCGCGTAAAAATGCAGGTAAATGTTTTGTGACGCCTAACACGAACATCGAACATAACAAACAATATTTTTAGTTTAGATAAATTTAAGTAGACACAAAATTTACATTGAGGAACGAAAAATAGCAAATTATTTCGATTTTACACGGTTTGCATCTGTTTAATTGTTTGTATGCTTGTTATAAACCTATTAGTGGAAATATATAAGAAGAGACATTTGATGTTTATGACTAAATATTCATAGTTATTTCTTGTAATTTCATCAATTTTGAAAGATTTTTGGCATTTTAGAAAGATTTTAATCCATTTCAACGGAAAAATCCATAAAATACAAAGAAAAACATTATTTTCTTTAGTAAATTTCAGTTTTTGTACTAAATTTACTGCATCTTTGGAGAAAACTATGAAAATTTATTATTTTTAATTAATTTCTCGTAGTTAACAAGACTTTTAACAAGAAAACAGAGAAAATTAATATAAATCAACCAAGTTTGTACACATTTCGACTAGGGCTTCACACGAGACGAGACTGGACGATACTATCAAAGGTATCGTCTCGGTCTCGGTATCGTCTCGCAAAAGCGATACGAGACCGAGACGATACGAGAAAAGTCTCGGTATCGTGTGAAGCTTTAAGTAGAACTCAGTTTTAGATCTTTGCAGTTCAAAAGTTTAGTCATTTAATTGCTAATTGCATGTATTGTAAAGTAAATCCAAAATACATACATAGTTTAAAATATTAATTTTTAATTGCATCACTTTTAATTGAAAATATATTTTTTAATGTTTCAAATTTTAAAACGATAATGTATACTAGGGTACAATAGTCGAGTTGATTTGTGTTGAAAGTAAGCGGCGCACGTCTACAATTCCTAACTTACCCAGATGTATACAATATCTTTGCTTCAAGAAGTACAGAAAAACACAAAAATATGTCTCCGGATGTGTAAACAAAGACAAAATTTTCATAAAACTTTCAAAAAGTCAAAAAGGTCATGATATTCGGTTACTGACTTGTTATTTTGAATATACAAAAGAAATATTTCACAGATGGTCATATATTGGATTTCATATATTGGACCTTTTCCCATTTTTCTAATAACAACTTCATAAAAAAAAGTAACGAGACCAAAAACGAGACTCGGACTGTGGTATCGGTATCGCCGAGAAATTGATAAAACACGTCTCGTCTCGGTCTCGTCTCGGAAATGCGAGACGATACCGAGACGATACGAGAAAAGTCTCGGTATCGCGTGAAGCCCTAATTTCGACGATATTTTGATTTTTTCTTTAAAACAAAGCTATACTGACTAATTTCTATCAACATTTTCGATGTTTAGTAAAGAAAATATCAGTTTCATGAAATATTAACCACAACAAACAAAACCATCAAAATAAACCCGAAAAAATACCTTCTATGAAATGATGCATGTTTTTTTTTCATGATTTTCAGTAAGTTATGGCGTTAATTGCGTCTTAAACACTGAATACGAAATGTTTGGATACGAAGCACGCGTCCGGCCGCTCCAATTCCCAATATAGTGTTAGTGTTTATAGTTAGGCATTAGTGTGTCATTTCATCGCGCAATAATTTATTTATCCTCATCGTCGAGCCATTACCTAAACAATCGCGCTCAAATCAACATGTTTTGTTTATTCCCCAGTTAAATATAATATTAATTTAGCCCACACTAATGAAAGACTTATTTTGTGTTGTGTTTTATTTTGTTACTAGCTTTAACCCGCGGCTTCGCTCGCGAATATCTAAAATAATGAAGTTGCTTCCGTACGCGTCTGTAGTCACAGAAGAAGTAACAATGAAGTAGAATGGCGGGATGTTTAAAATGGCTGAAAGTATAGTCTATGGAAGTATAGTGCACAGTCTCCATAGTGTAGTCAATTGGATTTGATGTTGACGTAGCTGTCGGTAATACAGTGTGATAATACTGTGTGTGTACTATAGTACTTAGGTTAGAGTTTCATTGCTGGAACGCTAGATGGCGTTAAAGTAGTCAAATAGCCAGATGCAGAGGTATTATTGGCTAAACTATTTCTTTATTTTATTTAAAAAATAATTTTTGTATTAAATAAAAAGTAGCCTATAACCATTCGGGGGCCACTAAGAATATGTGTACAAATTTTCATGATGATCGGTTAAGTAGTTTTTGCGTGAAAGTGTAACAAACATCAGGACTTTCGGATTTATAATATTAGTAGTGTTTTTTGTGTATTACTGGATGCCTATCATGGATTTTTCAGAACAGCTAACCTTGTCATCCAGATTACGAAATAAAGTGTCCTCGTTTTATGTCTTCCCGATTTATATGGATTCCTCTGTTTTTCACCGACGACAAAGGGCAACAAGGGACGACGACGCGGACGCGCGGAACGAACGACAAACACCTTCGAGTCTTATTCAGTGACCCTTGCGACGCGGTTGTTTTGTATTTTTTTGCGCGCGCGAGCGTTTGACCTCTATACTCACCCTTAGTCAAGCGTAGGGGTGAAAATAAATGGAGCGATGCGTTCACTGGACACCAGAGGAATCAAAATTTACACTGGACACAACAAATTACATTTGTACACTTTGTACACTTACTAGAGTTATGTTTGACATGAAGTAAATAAATTGTGGGTTGCCTACATTAAAAATTTAACATTTTAACTTTCGTGTCTTGAAATACTTGAATTTTCTTTCTGAATTCTCTAAAAATTCAACTTTATACGCGTACTTTACGAGGAATAAAACTTTTATCGATTTTAATTAATCTAAAGCTTCGATAAGTCGCATCGATTTTGTATTAGCGCATCATTTGCGTTTTATTGCGCAATTTTCCTTTCGTTTACGTCCTCTACATTTAATTCTTTTAAAACAAAAAAAAAACTCATAAAATTTAAAACAAAGCAACACAATAGTAATAATAATAATCATAATAATTGAAGAAGCAATCAATTATCAAATCGTTTGTTTTCATATGAGTTTATGACCATTTGCTGTAGAACTGGTTGCCTGCATGTAGGTCTTGTTTTATTTACTGATTTGGTACTAAATCCGGCATTATTAGCCCGTAAGTATCAATAAAAATTCGGAACGCGCATTCGTGCAACATTGTGTGGTCGTTTGGCTGCAGCCATTCATAAAAACAAAAACTCCTACGCGCACGTTTCGTTTAATCTGCGTTTCTTTCATTCGTTCATTCATAACTGTTTTAATATGTCTAAATATTTGGCGTTTTTTGATGACCGTTGAAATTTTGTTCACGCTACTCCTGCATCTTTTACTACGAATACTATTAATACTCGTTTTTGTGAATAATGATCGCATTTTTTCTGCGGAAATGTTATGAATACACCAAGATGATAAAACGTGACATCTCTGGACATATTTTATCTTAAATAAACATAAAATAGTAATTCTAAACCATTTTAGAGTAATTTTCAGCATTTTTCTGCATATTTTCATTAATTACGCCTAAATTATCAACTTTTTCAAATATATTATTAAGTTATCTTAAAGTACTCATCAAGTACTACCTTCCAAAACAAAAATCAGTTTTCTATTGTTAAAAGTTTAAAAGTTACAACGATTTTTGTATCAACATGATGCTAGTACCTTTCCTCTGAAGAACATAACCTATATACAATGTTGATGTAAGTTGAAACATACTAAAAGTAAGCGTATAATTTATACATTCGAGCGAATGCAAAAATCAGACTCACTCACCGTTTGTTGAGAAGTTGCGAAGAAGGCACGTACATCGTACAATCGTTGACATTCTCCCGTGGTGAGCGTCGCCGCAATGTGCTGACGTATTTCCCTTTTTCATAGGGTGCGCGCGTCTACTGCGAATGATAAAGGTATTAGGTTACACTCTGGAGGTTACAATTAAATAAATACATACATTGTAATAACACACAACAGTAATCTGAGTCTTCTAGTTGGAACACATCGTTGCACAACGCACGTCTTTCTAGAAAACAAAACAAATTCACAGGTTATACAAATTATGCAGAGTCAGTTAAAACTAGGCAACCCAACATACACATTTACACATATTATAGTTGTATATGAATAATACTAATAAAATTTAAGGTATGCAACCAGTAATACATATAAAATATAACTAAAAATTAGTGTTTTTTTGTTTTTTTAGTAATAATGTTGGCTAAATAATAAGTAATAATAAGTCCGATGCTGTGTTTGGCATTCTATTAGTTTGTGCCTGAAATACGGCTGTGCGAAACGCGCTGACCGCGCACTTTTCGAGGCGCAGCGCGGCGCGCTTTACGCTTTCGGATGTCACCTTGTCATATTCGCTTGGCGGGCGCGCAGACGGCGGCGGCGTCGAGCCGCCCACCTCCTGCCCGCCGCCCCCGCACCATAGGCACGTAACGCGTCTATCACGAGCAAAAAATACGATGGAAAATAAAATATTGGCAGCCAAACTAACACCGAATTGTTATTGCAGCCGCGCGTACAATGAATTGATACAATTTGCACGCGAATAATGCCCGGCATTATGAAACTCTATATTGTTACGGATTGAAACTTTGTTGCTTTGTGTCCCGGAGCACCGCACAGAATATTATTTCAAGCTTTATCAGAGGAAAAGATTAAGTTTCGCAATTAATTTCTTAACAACAAGAATACTCGGAGATTAATCATTTGTTTATTAAGAAAAAGAGTTTGATGAAGAATAATTCGCATTTAGACCAAACAGGAAGAAGTTTATGTGTTTATTTCATGAAAAAAATAAAAAATTATGAAATTAAAGTTAAAATTCACTGTAATTTTTTAAACTAATTAAGTTAGAGATGTGATTTTTGTTGTAATTAGTAGATAATTACATAAACTATAAGATTTACTGTTAAAATATTTAAAAAAATTAAATTTTGCCGAAAATTTTGGGTTTTTGTTGTTTTTGTGTAAAATTAGTTGCATAACTTTAAGTTTCCAACCAAACTTTAAGAAATTTAAAAATAGTTATTTTTCTACCACGTAGGCATTACTAATTAGTAATTTTTTTATCAGTAGGTCAGTTTCGGACAGTTCGTTCAACTCTGCTTAGCTCAACACTCAACAATCGAACGGAAAGTTTGAACTCTTGCAAAAATAGACACGAAAATAAAAAATCAGCATTTTTACATTCTCTTAATACACATGAACTTAAAAACTAATTAATTACTAATTTAATATTAATTTTTCATTGATAACAAACTCAAAAAACACAAAAACCTAAAAATTTTACCCAAAAAACACGAAAAACTCCACAAAATCAAAGAATAAACCATTGAGAAAACGTCCAAGACGTTTAAAAGTGCAAACAATTGCATATTGTATGTGTGTCTCAAAACACACGTCTGCATTTTTGCCCCACACGCGGCCATTTTGTCAGTCAGCAAAAATCACAATCGCATACAGTATAATTCAACACTTATTGAGTATTGTATCCAATAATTGTGAATAAATTAATTTTGGATGCATAAAACACACTGTATGTTTTAGGTTAGACCCAAACTGGAACAATGCACAAGCTGGTGAACGAACTTAATGTGTTATATCACACGGGAAGGTATTAACCCCGGCGGAGGCATGTGATGTTGTTTCGCCATCAGAAATGGTGATAGTAGATGCAAGAAGTGACAAAGCGCTGGCGAATAATATTGGGGCAATCCGATTGCTATATTTGTGTTGACAAAAGTTTCGGTGGCTTGCATTTGTTTTTGTTTTGTAGATTAATATAGACATATCATTGGGAAACTAAATTTTCCATTTTTTTGAATGTTTTCTTTAATTTTGGGGGAAATTAAACTGTTTTGATTGTTATTATGTGATGGAGCTTATAGTTTATGTTATTATCTATGATTTAACGCATGAATTAAGTTTTTATCTTGATTAGTTTTTGAGTTATTAAGATTTTTGTAAAAAATTACATTTTTAGTAAAAATTTTACTTTTTTGTTAATTACGAGAAAACTACTAATTGTATGTTATTGATACTTTGTATACTTATAGTCAATTAAATTATCTTTCAAATGACACCTTGATCAATATTGTATCATTTTAATTAGTTGAGTTATAACAAAAAATATTTTAGTGAAAAGTTTTTACACAATATTAACCTATATTCCTGTTCATAGAACTATAGACTACCCTCCTTACAATTCACAACATAGTTCTGCATAGTCACGCAACAATACGATCTCATTCTCTCGATCCCGTCCGATTTTTACTCGGTGAGTTTACATCCGCACATGAAAATCGTTCCGTCGAGCATTCCTCATCGCGTTTTGCGTTTTACGGTCGCGTTTCGCCGCGTCAGCGAATCCGCACGCGCTCCACTTCCACCGAATTTTCCCGGAAAATTAGCTCCGTTTCCTCGCCTACAACCCGCATGCATCTTACCGAAACAACGAATACGCCGGAAAAAAACTAATACGCGAGAATGAATGTTTATGCAAAACATGAATTTATGTTTTTGATGAAGTATGAGTACTTACATTTTCACGCTGTGTTGTATTGTGGTGTGCGCTTTGTGAGGTGGGAGATGAAAAGCGCGCAGGTGCGTCGCGGGCTGGGCGTCGTCGAGTTTTGCGCCGTCGCGACGCTGAGCGCCAATCGCGGGAGCGGCAACTCTTCATTGGGTACACAGCACTAGCAGAGAATACTGCAGGAACGGATTGTGAATGCGGTAGTATAGAATATTCTAATTTTTCAGCGCACAGGTGAAGAGATGAAGTGATGCGATTGTTGAAGGTTATGTGAGGGAAAATAAAGGTGTAGTAGTGGTTGCATAGGTTATAGAAAAGGAAGAATTTGAGTTTGAAAGTTTAAAAAATATAAAAAATTATGTTTTGTTATGTTTAAATGTATAGTAATTATTTAATGTTGTTAAAAAACATGTTTTATAGCGTTTATAAACAAATTTTGATCAGAAAACATTTATAATATAAATGTATCTGAAATGTGTAATACTGGTTGCCTATAGTTTGAAAATTTGAATGAGTATCAATAAATATGAATTAAAATCGTTTATTTTGCGGTTTTAAACAAAAATTTAGCAACAATTCATTGAAATATTTAATAATTTGACTGTTTTATATCAAATTTATCTGTAAAACTTATTAAAACATGAAAAATATTCTAAATTTTGCTGTAAAGTGGGTTGCCAAGCATTTCGTTCAATATTTCTTCAATTTTTACCCAAAATATTCAATTTAATTTAAACCCCCAAAAACAATAAAAACACAAGTTATTATACTCTAAACCATAATTTATTTAATTATAGGTCCTAATATAATAATATTTACATAGTATTTGAATAATAACATATTTCTCATAAACATTGTACATATTTTGAAAACACAACCAGTAGCCTTCCATCTCGTGTGTGACGCGTAAACATAACCATCCAACATAACCAAAAAAAAGTGACTTAAAAGTTAGGTTATAACACGATTACCACCTTAGCTTTCGAGATATGCAATGTTTTGTTATTCTCCACTATAAATATGCGCACTAATATAGTGACAATACAAAAATAAAACCAAAAAACCAAAAAAACAAAAAAATCAAAAAATTTAAAAAAGACTTATTCATAATAAGGCAAACCGGTAAGTCAAATCATAAAATAATAATAAAAAACGTAGAATGCAACAATTTAAAACTTAACTAACTTAACTTATGTTAAACTGTCATTTTTGTGCACTTCACTCAGTTTTTTATACAAATTCACAGGGTACGGGTACACCACTCACTGGAACCTCCGTCCCGGAAACGGATGTCATAGATAAACCTCATCCCCAGGTCCTGCGTATCCCTTTCATGCGTAACCCTTGCCAGATCCATCTTCAACCTGTGTACCTCCTGTTGGAGACTTCGATTAGTCACCTCAAGATCCTGCCTTTGTTGTAGTCTCTTCGATCGGCAATTCTGCGCGTATCCACGGTTCTTCAACGTGCGTCTCTTCTGCTTCAACCGGACAACCTCTTCCCTCGGACACCCATGCAGACGTTTATTCAATTCTCTTACTGTGAGGGTCATTAGAAGGTCATCGTTCAAATTAACATCTTCACTGCATGTTGAATATCCACTATTAAGGTGGTTCATGCGTGGTGAAAGGGCACTACCCCCACTACAGACTGACAGTGGTCTCTGGGCGAACGCATTGGGGTCCATGTAGATATCACCAGCAGGGACGTATTCCCGTCGCTCCCAGTTGGGTTCCCCGCCCATACTGTGGCGTAGATCCAAAGGTTGTTGGGATCTCCGCCAGATATCCTCCTGCATTTGTGGTTGACGACAGGATCCAGGTGAGTGACTGGGTGGGGTGTCCGGAGGGGTTCCCGGGTCGTTTACTAGTAAAAGACCATGCGGATGGGTGCTGTACATTGCTTCCGGGGGTGGGGACATTGGTGGTAGGCGACAGCGGAGTTCATCTGGCCATGGACGTGTGAGGATACGTTGTTCATCCTGGACCAACCAATCTGCGTTGGTGGTTAGTAAACTGCGTTTGTCTTCGCGTTTCACGCTGGCGTCGAAATGGTCCAGTTCGAAGCTCTGGACGTAGACGTCCACGTCGGCGAGGTGGTCGTCTTGGTGGTTGTCCATGGTGGGGTCGGTGGATGGGTTGTGTGGTGCTAATGTCTGCATTAGAACACTTTGTTTTTATTTTTTATTTTTAATTTTTAACACTTTGGTTTTGATTTATTTTTGTATTATGTTGTGTTATGTTATACGATGACACTGGGGGAATGCGCGCGTGTTGCTCGACGACCGCCGATAGAATGAGTCCTGGCGAGATTTAACGCTTGCGCCCGCTGCGCCGCCGCCTCCCCCGACCCTGGCGTCCGCCTCCCTGCGGCGCGCGCGCCAACGACGCGCGAGTGCGCAGGAAATTTGTTTATACGGACGGTTGCGATGAGCGTGAGCAGGGCAGGCCCGGGCGCCACGTCCAATGCGCATACGAAACACAATCATAATGTGAACTACTACCATACACTCCAGAGTGATGATAATTTTGTTTGATTTCATGTTAAATCTCTTAAAATAAATTATTTTTTGTTGTGGATATTTTAAATTCAAAATGGGAGTCTTTTTGTTATTGGTTGCTAAGCAACCAGGGAAGAAAACAGACGTGTAATGGTGGTTGCCTAATATTTTATGATTTATTTTATTAAAAAGTCGATAAATTTAATAATTTCAAGTGAAATATTTTAAAATAACCATTTTTAGATGTAAATATTTCAAACTAGCTTTAACCCTTGGCTTCGCTCGCGAATATCTAAAATAATGAAGTTGCTTCCGTACGCGTCTGTAGTCACAGAAGAAGTAACAATGAAGTAGAATGACGGGAAGTTTAAAATGGCTGAAAGTATAGTCTATGGAAGTATAGTGTACAGTCTCCATAGTGTAGTCAATTGGATTTGATGTTGACGTAGCTGTCGGTAATACAGTGTGATAATACAGTGTGATGGTACTATAGTACTTAGGTTTGAGCTTCATTGCTGGAATGCTAGATGGCGTTAAAGTAGTCAAATAGCCAGATGCAGAGGTATTATTGGCTAAACAATTTCTCTATTTTATTTAAAAAATAATTTTTTTTTATTAAATAAAAAGTAGCCTATAACCATTCGGGGACCACTAAGAATATGTGTACAAATTTTCATGATGATCGGTTAAGTAGTTTTTGCGTGAAAGTGTAACAAACATCAGGACTTTCGCATTTATAATATTAATAGGGATAATAATAGGGATTTAAGATGGTGGTACTTTGTTATTGGTTGTTAGGCAACCAAACAAGAAAACTGACGGTGTAATGTTGGTTATCTATGATTTAATGTTTTATTTTAGGAAATTTACATTTATTTATAGCAATTTAAAGTGTTATTGATTAATTATTGAATATTTATCGATTACAAGTTGTTTATAAAACAATTTAAACTGAATAACACTACAACACTAATCTAACACTATTAAAACTACTTTAAAAGCTTCTCGCTAGGTGGCGATACCAAATGATAACCCTAATACAATAAAAAACTAATTTATTTTTAAGAAATCTAAAGAAATAAAGATGCAACAACAGGAAATCTAGCTTCTTGCTTCTTAGTTTTGTTTGCATGCCAGTTTACGCTCACGTGGCCGGTTTACTTTCGACTTGAAAAAAATGCAAGCTCAGTGAATTCGCCAGCATGTACAAACGCGCTTTATATTTCTACTATTCCTATGCGGTGAACACGTATATCTAATCCATCAACAGAGTGTTTAATTAATAAGTAAATATCCTAATTACATCATAAATCAATCAGCGCCATCTGTAACTAAATAAAAACACTTAACCACATTGCAATAATTTTACAGAAAACTGTAATCCACATCAATTTTATATTAGGATATATAATAATAATAATAAATTAAATAATTAATACAATACCCTGTATATTATACACATATATATTTCCTGTTATAACTTTATTGCCAACTCAGGGAAACAGGAGTCTGCTCCACGTCTCTGTTATTCGTATTTCGTGAAACCGTAGCCGCGCATTGGCATCGAATGAATGAATCAAAGCTTTTGACTCTTCTCATTGATTAATCACAAGGTCATTTTAATTCTAAAATTAAGATGATGTGGTTTAATTTATATTTACCATTATTGACAATGCCTTTAATGCGTGTAATTTTTAAGGTTAGTTTAACATAACCTCAACTCGGTAATTACTCGTTTTATCACATCGATCAACATAAACAGAGAGTGAACAAAGGGTGCAACTGATACTTGTACTTGCGGGTAGCTGATGCGCACCGCCAGAGCAAACACCGAACGATAACCCGCTCGCCACGAAAGCCCGAAAGCTCATGGCGCTGTATTTGTTCACAATTAAAATTTTAAGCATGTTGAACAACCCTTTCACGGTCCCTCTAGGTCCGTATTACGTAAACGTTTAATAAAAATCAAAAATAAAAATTTTCATTAAAATAGTTAAATTTTTACACTAGCGCCATCTGTGTATGAAAACTATGTGTATTTTTATACATAACCTAAGAATATATATGAGTATTTTGTGTTTTTAGTTATTATTCATTAGTATTGTTCTAATTACGTAATAGTTGGGTATTGTTTAATTTGTAATGCGTTCACGAGCGCGGATTAATTCACCCCTTGCGAGGGTTGCGCTGGTTGCATAGGGTGGCGAGGGTTGCACGCACGCAGACAAAAGGGTCGCGCCCTCGTCGGAATGAACATTCGCGCGTACATCCTGCGGCCGGAAAGTGATTTAGTCACTTTAAGTCGACGTTAATCGACGCAAATTAATTCGAAACATGCGGATGAGTTTAAAAATACATTTTGTATGTTTTGAGGTTATGTATGTTGCGCTATTCATTAAAAAAATTACTTTTTTTAACTCAATATAAGTTATATAGTAGTTTTCTGTTCGTAGAATTGATATTCTCTTTGCTAATCTGTGACAAACTGAAATAATCCTAATAATCCTTGGAAATCCTTGACATTCATGACATGCAACAGGTTAATATAAGGATTGTCATCATTGTCATTGAGTAGAATACTGAATACTTTTGCGTCTACTTGAAATTGCATTGTTGAGTGCACTGCATGTGGAAAACTTGTCATTTTGTGAGATTATCTCAGAGCTAATAAGTCAACAGATGATATTTAAGGAAGAAATGCAAGGATAAGGCAAGGAGACAAAAAGAAAAGTGTAATTATGATGAAATATTGAAATATGAATGAAATCTATTCATAAATTCATGTATTTAGGATTAATTTTGGTAAATATTAAGTTTTTCTTTACTTAAACTTAGTTTTTGAGACAAAAAATGAGAAAATAGTTCATTTTTGAGGTTATTTAAGTTATGTACCTATGTTATTTTACTAAAAAAAATCGAAAGTAGGCAACTCTTTATGCTGCAAATCGTTGTATATCTCACAATTTACTTTGATTATACCTGAAACATGTTTATTAATATCAAAATATAGTTTTATATTGTTTAATACACTTTAATACGTCAATATCAATGATTTTATATCAAACATCACCATATTTGCTTATCAACAAGTAAAACAATACATAATATATATAATAACACATACATTATGTATTTTAATACTTTTCCTTTTATTTATTAGCAGATTCTACATAAATAGCACAATTTTGAGGTTATAGTAAGGCGTTGAAGCGGGCTGCACGATAACATATCTCCAAATCAACTTCTTGTAGAAACATTCCTAATCAGAAACGAATTGAAACTAAATTGTATTAAATTGTATTAAAACTTACCCGTTTGGCATACGAATCTGCCCATTTCGCATTTATTGTCAAATATGTAAAAATCTCCATTAAAATCAGCGCCGCAGGTGTCATCCATAATTGGTTCACACGGGAAATTACAATTGTTCCATGATCCCCATTCTTGGGCATCAATCGTCAGAAAAACTAAAATTAAATTCAATTTATTGGTTATTTTAGGTTATCTTAGGTTAGAATATGTCTTACCGAAGATGAAAATAAGAAGTAGGCAACTCTTCATGATGTAAATAGTGGTTTAACTCACGAATAACTTTATCTGAGCTAGATTCGTGTTTATTTATAGCAAAATGATAAATTAAATATGGAAATTAATTAATTGTATATTACCTATCACCATTATAGGTTATCAATAAATAAAACAATAGCAATTATATATGCAAACACATTTATTTAGTATTTTTATTTTGCAAAACTCTATTTATATATTTTTGTTTTTATTTATCAGCTAATTCTACATTAATATTACTTTTGAGGTTATTATCACTAAAAACACCATTTTATGTCGTTATTTTAGGTTATGTATAACATTTGACTAAGAAAAACAAAAAGTAGGCAACCTTTCTTGATGAAAACGCTTGTGTAACACACGATTAACTCCGACTAAATCAGAAACATCTTTATTTATAAGAAAATGTGAAACTGAATAAGGAAATTTAATAATTTTATAATAAACATCACCATAATTGCTTATCAAGAAATAAAACAATACATATTTATATAAAAACACATACATTTTGTATTTTTATAAAGAAAATTCTGTTTTTATACTTTCCATTATATTTATCAGCAGATTCTACATAAATAGCACACTTTTGAGGTTATAATCAGAAGACTTTACCCTCACATTTTCTCAAATCCAGTTGGTGTAGCATAATATCTAATCAGAAACAAATAAAATGTCAAAAAAAAAAAAAAAAGAAAAAAGCAATAATTCGATTAAAACTTACTTCTTTCACAAGAGTATTTCTCCTTTTCGCATAAATTGTTAAATATAAAATATTTTCCAACCCGATTCACAGCGCAGATATAATCAATAACCGGCTTACACTTGAAATCACAATTATGCCATGCTCTCCTTCCTATTCCTCTAGCATCAATCGAAACAATCACTACAAATTAATTAAATTCAATTTATTAACTATTTAAGGTTATTTTATGTTAGGTTATATCTTACCAAAGATAAACACAAACAGTAGCTGAAAACTTCATGCTGAAAACTATACTTCAATTCACGATTTACTTCGACTGTGGACAGAATTGTCTTTATTTATAGCAAAATATGAATTTAAATAAGGAAATTTAATAGTTTTATAATAACTATTACCATTATTGGTTATCAACAAATAAAACAATACATATTTATATAAAAGCACATAAATTTTGTATTTTTAGACCGCAAAATATTTTTAATACTTTTCTTTTTATTTATCAGCAGATTCTACATAAATAGCACGATTTTGAGGTTATAATCCATTTATTACTTTGTCAAACGTTATTTTTCTATGCCGAAGTGCTGATCACATAATTCCATGTTCACTATTTCCATATGATAATCTAATCAATAACAAACAATATTTCAAAAAATCAAAAACCAAAAAACGCAATAATCACTTTAAAACTTACTCGTCTTACAAGCGTATTTGTTCATTTCGCACAAATTGTTAAATATATAATATTTCATTCTCAGATCCATGGCGCAAAGAAAATCAAGATGTGTTGCACAATCATAATTACAATTATTCACATCAAGTTGTCTTCTATGAATATGACGCCAGGCATCAATCGAAGCAACAATCACTGCAAATAAATTCAATTTATAGGTTATTATAGGTTATGTGGAATATTTTACTGAGAAAAATCAATAGTAGGCAACTCTTCATGATGCACATGGTAATATAACTCACAAATAATTTAACTGCATCAAAAACGTTTTTATTTATAGTAAAATATGAAACCTAATAAGGAAATTCAATAATTTTGTATTAAACATCACCATAAATGGTTATCAACAAGTAAAACAATACATACTATAAATAATAACACGTACATTTTGTATTTTAATGTTGCAAAACTGTTTTTAATGTTTTTCTTTTTATTTATCAGCAAATTCTAGAAAAATAGCACATTTTTGAGGTTAGTATTAATTTGACCAGGTTCCGCCTTCGATATAATGATGATAACATTCTTCCATGTCTATTTCTCGCAGGCGAATGTCTAATGAAGAACAAATCATGTTTTAAGACCAAGAAACGCATTGATTTGATTGAAACTTACCCTTGTGACAAGCGTATTTGTACATTAAACATAAATTGTTGAATATATACAGTTTAAAGTCTTGATCTTCAGCGCAGATGACATCGATGATTGGTTTACAGTTCATCGGACAATAATCGTTATCCCTTCTTCGTATTCTGCCATCAATCAAAGCAAAAACTAAAAATAAATTGAATTTATAGGTTATTTTAGGTTATTTATGACATTTTACTGAGAAAAACAAAAAGTAGGCAACTTTTCATGCTGAAAATTGTACTGGAACTCACGATTAACTTTAATTGTATTAAAATCGGTTGTATTTATAGAAAATTGTGAAACTAAATAAGGAAATTTTATAATTTTATATTAAACATCACTATTATTGCTTATCAACTGATTAAACAATACAAAATTATATTTTTATATTATAAAAGTCTAGATATGCACATTTGTATATATTTTAAAGCAAATAATACATAAATAGCATAAATTTGAGGTTAAAATGCAGAAAAAAACATAAAAATGTCAAAAATATAATTTTTAGGTTAAAATACTTTATTTTCCATCCTCAAGATCAAAGTGCCGAATACATATCTTCATATTTACTTCATCCATATGCAAATCTACAAAAAAAACATCAAAAATCAAATAAAATCAATAATTTCCCCAAAACTAACCTTTTTGACAGCCGAATTTCTCCATTTCGCATATATTATTAAACAAATAAATCTGTAAATTGTGATCTATGGCACAGAGTGCATTATCAATTGACTTACACCTCCACAAACAATTATTCGCTCTTCTGGCATCAATCGAAACAAAAACTACAAACAAACTCAATTTATAGGTTATTTTAGGTTATATACGTCTTACCGAAGATAAAAACCAGAAATCCAAGCGATTTCATGATGCAAATCGCAGTGCAACGCTCAAAAACTTTATTTAGATGAGAAATCTGTCTATTTATAGAAAATCACGCGAATTTATATGGAAATTTACATTATTGCTATATATTAAACATTCCCATTGGCGGTTATCGCTTAATTTATATAAAATCACAATTATTTGGATTTATTTATATTATAAAAAGCTTTTTTGGGTTTTTGGTTACATTTTCAAGTTTTTATACAAAAAAAAGACAAAATACGATAATTAATTGCTTGAATCACAACATAAACTAATTATAATCAATCTAAAATTAAATTAATAGCAACCAGATAACTTTAAAGTTTAAACTATTTAATTTATTATGATATAATGTGTAAATAAACGAATTTTGCGCGTTTTGTTTGTTTTCTTTGCGAAATTTCACTTTCTAACTACAAATTACAACTTAACAATAAATCATGTAGTCTAGTAATGATTATGACGTCAATTCATGGCCCAACAGCTGTGAAACTATTAATTTGTGTTCAATGTGTTGCTAACTCATTCCCAACGCCATCTTGAAAGCGAAAAAATCCATTTGTATTCGAGGTTAAAGGTTTGCACATGCAAATTGTTAACTTTCAACCTTAATCATGATCGAATTCCGACTAGGAATTTTTTTCGGTGTTTGTTACTTGGTTGCCAATTACATTTTATCAAATTTTGGCAATTTTGTTTATAAATAAACTCTAATTATCGCCTAGAAGTGAATACATTTCGGTTGCCATCGCTTGGATGAAATTTATTTCATTGATCAATTAAATTAATGAAATTACTTCTCTGCGCTTCGGGATCTTTTCATTATAATTTCAAATTGTTCGTTGCTTCGATTTGGTTGATAATTTATACTTGGAATTATTACTTTGTGCGTCTAATCGCAACTAAGTACTCATATAACTGTCTGACCCCGCTCACCGTATGATTCCGTATGACGCGAGCGGCCACATGCAATTGAAAAATGCGCCGCCATGTCATGACACAGGAAATGGGAGCCACTCGGACTGGCCGGCTTATCAGGGCGATTAAATTGTGCCCAAAATTTCGCTACTTTGCAATAATTAATTGCCAAATGGAATTATTTATCAATTGATTGTGGGTTTCGTTCGGTCTGTTGTCCATTATTGCGTCAATTGATAATGCACAGACTGATTTCTAAACAGGAAGTAGATTAATGAATGAAGACTCCATTTTAGTTTATGCAGCAGTTTTTAAAGGTGTATGTTGGGTTGCATACGTCTGGAAACAAACTAAAACAAACTAGAAATGAAGACGGTTTATTTTTGATTGAAAACTTATAAAATAAAATTATTCTAATGTGCAATTAGTGAATATTAGTCCCTGGTTTCTCCTTCTTCATCTTCCTCATCAAATCCTCGAATGAATAGAATGTTGTTGCATCGTATTAAAACTTCTCCCAAGTTTCCTTAAAAAAACACAGAAAAATCAATGATTAATCATATTTTGTGCTAGATTTTTGCAGTTAATTTACCTGCTACATGTCCGTCAATAAATTCTTCAGTATTTGCAAGTTGTAGATTCATGTAGCCATCAACAGAAACCAAATAACCTTTATATTCGTGTCCCCACTTGAGTTTTACCATCACAGCTTTTCCTGTGAGTGAATTAAGGAATGGTTTGGGGTTGATTGGCATAGCAGCCATTGTGGAGAATATTTATAACTACTTTTATAGTAAAATTATAAGAAATACAAGCGTTTACGCTTGTTTTAATTGTATTTGCACGCCGGTTAAATTTGTTTACGATTTCGTGCGTTTTATTAAGAGGTTAGGAAGCGCGTTACTTGAGGTAATACCAACTAAACAAAAAATAACTAAAAACATCCAAATAATTTTATTATTAACTATCTAAACTCATAAAAACATTAAATAACATTAAAACTATTACTATATAACAAGTAATTATAAATAAAACAATAATTTGTAAATATTTTAAACAAAAATCATTTAATTTGCTTTGAAAATGTCAAAAACTTTGAAAAATTCCACTAGATGTCACTATGGGTACCATTGTAGTGTTAAAAATACTCCAGCAGGATGACACGCGCGATTACAGCCCAAGTTTTCAACTTCAATTTGTTGCTACGACACCATCCACAAGATGCCAACGTGCACTCACCCGCAGCCACAACAATAATAAACCCACCAACCACTGGTATGTCACCTTATAAATATTTATTCATAAATAAAACGCGCATAAATGTCACCCAACCAATGCAACTCGGCTCACTCTGATCAAATACAAATAAAAATCTCATTATAATTATATAATTAAAGCAATTAGCTTGTTGTAAATTACAAGAAGTACTCGCAATGCTTAGTAGTAATCCGGCACAGGAGCACACGCAATCTTGACAAACTCCTCATACTTGACCATCGAATTGTTCTGCACGTTCGCCTCGCGGAAGATCCGATCAACTTCCTTCGATGACAGACACTCACCCCAATTCTGCAGCATGTTCCGCAGTTGTTTGGCGGGCACAGTGCCTCTACCATGAGGATCCGCAGCCTTAAACGCATTCACCACCTCTCTGGGCAGATCCTCCGCACGGGAATGTATCAGCATCACTTCGACAAAGTCCGAAAAGATCATCTTTCCACCTTTTTGTTTGAGGTATGTGGCGAGCTCAGAGATGGTCGGCGAGAGGCCCAAGCTTCTCATGATCAAAGTCAACTCATCCAGGGATTTAATCTGCCCTGTGCGGGCGTACAGATAGAAACACTCTTTGAACTCTTCGATTTCTTGCTCTTTGAAGTAACGAGCCTGCAATCACGCATTGAAAGATGATAAAAATCAAACAAATTAGCGAATAATTTACCATTTTGTGTGCTTAGTTGGGTTCACAATACGAATACGCAGCGTTGAATCTTATCAGTTGTCAAATATACGCAGATAAAACAAGCTGCGATAGTAAAATGGTGGAATTTCGAGCGGAAATTTGTGTGATGCGTGTACAACAGGTTGAAATCGAGTCGAGTGGTGGAGGTAACTGAACGGAACTCCGGCTTGTGAGTTCACCGTTCATCTTTTTCACCTGTATAGTACATACACACCTATTTTATACGTTTATCTTGTATAGTTCGAAGTCTAATGAGTGTAAAGGCACTTGAACTGCTTCACAACACAGATAAATTAATACAGAGCATAAAAACATGTTGTATAGACATGGATTTATGATAATTCGCTTGAATTAGACGAGAAAATAGTAAGTTTGTTATTTTTTTCTTATGAAAACAATGTTTTTATGAGTAATTTATGATTGTTTACATATAGGCAACCCGTGTTGCTGTTATATAATATATTTTCATGTTTTTAGGTTTTTTTTTGTTGAAAAGTTGATTTTTTACTTAAAACTATGATTAAATAGTGATTCAAAGGTTAATATTGCAAAACAACAGTGTAATGTGCATTCATTCCGCTTTACAACTCTATAAATAGCAATGTTTTCAAGTAAAACCGATGTGAAAGCTAAAGTTAAAACAAGTTCAGTCATTTTCGGACGTTTTAAGACCTTCGATGCTTAAAATAGGTCAAACCTTGACAGTTGCATCCTTAAAACAACTTAAAATTACTTAAAAAATAGTTAAAACCTTTAAAAACACTAAAAACACTTCACTTTTAACTAAAAATTTAGGGTCAAGTGTTTTTATTGTTTATTTTGCGCCATTTTCACTTGATTTTCATAAAAAATGCTTTGTTTGAGTAAGTGAAAACGTGCCGGAGTAATATTCACAAACAGGCTTGACGAGAAATGTAAATTCGAGCACCGCGCATGCAAACAACAACTTTTTGTCATGTTTGTTTGTAGTTGAACGCGACATCATCACATTCACTGCTATCGCAACAGGTAGACATAATTGAAACTATAATTACTCGTGTACACATTGTGAATTTCTACGTCAGTGAAGTGTTAAGAAACTTGTAACTTAAGTTTATTAATTGTAACATTTGTGAAATACGGTTTTTGTGAGTTTTATTAGAAAATATTAGATTACGCATTACACACATTAGTGATAAGCGGAATGTTATCTCGTATCTGCTACCAAACACCAGCGTGTTGTGTTGATATTTTGCCCGGCAGCTCGTGCGAATCCATTGCTCGGTGTCCTTTGGACTTGTGCGCTCTAATCGGCGATCAGATTGGTTTCCAATACTTTCTGTGGAATATTAAATATTAAACATTAAACATTACGAGTTAAACGTGTGCTAATCAGTAATTGTATAGGAATTTAGAATTTGATAGTTTAATTGTTGATTTGTTGATTGTTTTGTGTTGCTTGCAGTGTTCAGTCGACAATAATGAGGTGATACTGGTGGAGGTGCAGTGTGATAATGGGCGCTGAGAACACTGCTTCCTTGAGGAAGGCGTCCAACTATGAGATGGTTCTGACGAGTTTGTGTTCGGGCGCCATTGCTGGCGCGCTGGCGAAGTCGTCGATTGCGCCGCTGGATCGCACCAAGATTAATTTTCAAATCAGGTAACGTAAGTATTATCAACATTCATTATTAACAATATATTTACATACTAATTATTTGGATATTAATGAATTACAGTGTAGACTCTGTATAATGATGAAATTTGTACTATTTAGTTGGTTTATATTAATTTTTCTGTGTAATGATGAGAAATATTTTAATTTCAAGCAATTATGAGCTAGAATATTTTTTTAAAGACATGACATCGATGGTAATACTTGAAATGTTGTTGTGGTTATGCAACCCAACATACACACAAATTGCAATGCAAATTTTATAACTTAAGCACGATTTTTCAGCTAATTTGTTGGGGTGCACGTTGCGTTACTACAAAATCATTTAAACATAACACAAGTGAATACAACTGAGCGACGGGGAATTCATATTTAGACTTCAGGAAATATTTACTGGCATTTTTACTATCATAATTGAGTATATAACCAGCTTAAAATGATTAAACAGTTGCCTGTCCACGTAAAATGCAAATATTTTGTTATATTTTGTTCTTTGATGAAAAATCGCTTTAAAAACATGAAAAAAACCTTTAATTTCTTGAGATTTTTATACAGAGGGTACATTGTGGTAAAAAAACACTCAAAAAGACTCTTTTTCTCCTTTTTTCATTCAAACTATTACAATAAACATCAAAATTTTCATATTCTAGTTCAGAAGTTTACACAACAAAGAAAGCATGGAGGTTCCTAGTGCAGACCTTTCAAAAAGAAGGCTTCATTGCCCTCTGGAGAGGCAACAGTGCCACAATGGCGAGAATTGTCCCATATGCAGCTATACAATTCACCGCACACGAACAATGGAAGAGAGTACTCAAAATAGACTACACAATGTAATTAATCACCTAATTTTTATGCATAAATTCATAAATTTTGTATAAATATTGTGCCAATTTTAGGAATTCACCTGCCAAACAACTTCTAGCTGGTTCCCTAGCCGGAATCACCTCACAATCGTTGACTTATCCCCTAGATTTAGCTCGTGCTCGCATGGCGGTCACACCCAAAGATGAATACGCCAGTCTGCAGCAGGTATTCGTGAAGATCTACCGTAATGAAGGCTTGATTACTTTCTATCGCGGATATGTTCCTACCATCATCGGCGTTATTCCGTACGCTGGTGTTTCGTTTTATACTTATGATACTCTTAAACGATTGTATAAAGGTAATTACTGATGTTTTCTTGTTTAAACATGGAAATTATTTGTGTTTTTGTTGTAATAGAAAACATTCACGATACAAATAAGCCAGGAGCGTTTGCATCGTTGATGTTTGGTGCAGCTGCAGGAATCTGCGGCCAAACAAGCAGTTATCCACTGGATATTGTAAGAAGGCGCATGCAAACTGACGTTTGCTTTAGATACAAGACTATTTTAGGTACTCTTGATTATATTCACAGGTAAACACTTAAATTTTTATTATTTAAATGTGTTTTTACATGTTTTTTGTGTTTTTTAATTTTTTATTCATAGAAATGAAGGATTAAGAGGTTTTTACAAAGGTCTATCGATGAATTGGATAAAAGGTCCCATCGCAGTAGGCATAAGTTTCGCGACCTATGATTCAATCAAAGAATTCCTGCGTGTTTACATAATTGGACACAGCTCCTGAGGTGCCACAAGTGCTTGAATTAGTATGTAGCGAGAGATATTTTATGATATTAATGCTGGAACAGCCAGAAACGTGTATAAAATACTATTTTCTATGATGATTAGGCATATTTTAAAGAGTCAATACAGATTATATTGTTGGATTGTTGTTATAAGTAAATTTTATACATATTTATTACATGTTTAAACAGTACATTCCTGCTGTGTATGTAAAATATTGTAAACCTAGCGGTGATAATCATAACTATATGACTTTTATCTGTCAGCTGTCATACAAAGGAAACATGACAATGACAATTATTTCCACAGTTCGCAGGACTCACGATTAATTCCTTTGCGAGAATATTCGCAGTTTCATGTTTGTAATTAATTGATAACAGTGGAGATTTTGAGCAAATTAAGCGGTTATAATTCCACAGCAGTAAAATGGGTAAGATTTATTCATGTTAATCGATAGATAAGTGATAATTTAATGTTTTTTCTTGTAGCCTTCAAAATGTCCTATAGTTTTGAAGGTAATCTGCGGCGTAGACCCGAGCAGAATCTTTCTGGGTCCAGTAAGAAACAAACAAGAGAAGCGCTTATTCAGCGTGCACATGAAGAACGTCTTAAGCGGCAGTCTGAGAGGTTGAGAGTTAAAAGTGCACAGACTATTCAGTCATATGCAAGGAGTTATCTTACACGAAAACATGCCAAGGAGGAGCAAAGGAAGTTGTTTGATCAGGATAATGAGGAGAAAACTATTGATTCACAGTTAGCCAGGCTGTTATTTTTCTATCATCCAAATGCAGATATTGTTAGAATGGTAAGTGGAAAGATTTTTGTTTTCTTTAGAGAATTTAGGAGAAAAAATGAAATTTGCTTAATTATTTCTCAAAAAATTAAGAAATTTAGTGCAAGAATTGAAATTTATGAAAGAAAATTATCTTTTTCTTTGTATTTTATCGATTTTTTGATTGAAACTAAACAAAAACTTTCTAAAAACAGCAAAATTCATAGAAAATAGATGAAATTATGTGAAATATTCATAAATATTCATTTCTAAACACATTTTACGCTTTTATATATTACTTTTAACTTAAATGAACGTAAATACTGAGTAAAAATTTCCAGGAAAACATTTGTATGTCATTGATTCCACTCAAAGAAATAATTCTATCGAGAATGTCCACTGATGTCAAATTCATGTGGTTAATTAAAAGATTACTTGGTAAATGCCTAGTTTTAATGTCCCATGAAGAGAAACTGCTGCTCGGGGCTGAAATGTTGAATAATTTCTCAAATTCACCAGAGATTCAACATTATTTAATATCAACAACAGGTATTTCTAAAATTACAACAAATTTTATATATAAATTTATATAAATTACATATTTTAGGTTATTACAAAACACTAAGTATTCTCTTTGAAAAAACAACAATTCCTGAATTATTACAATCACTACTGAAACTAATCGAGCAACCATTCATTTTTATCCCACCGAGCAATAATGAAGCAATGATTACTTCAATGACATCAGAGTTTGTCCAATACTTTATGTCACAGAACGTAACACTCAAAATCAAGAATATTCTCATTCCTTACTTGAGTACAAGCGGAACATTTCCTTATCAACATTTTGTTAAATATATTTCTGCACAGACATCAACATATGATGCATATATGAATAATATACTTTATTGTATGTTATCATTGGAGAAAACAGATCATAGTAAGTTTAATTTGTTTATAAATTTAAAATTATTAATAATTTATGATTAATTTTAGTATGTAAAGAAAATATTCAACTATTATCACAATTAACGCTGAATTTATACCAATTACAAGACGCAGATTATATGAATTCCAGAGATGATGACAGCGATGATGAGTGTATGGATGTAACAACAGGGTGTTTCGCGATTTCCGAGTATTTAGCACTTTTTAATAAGTCTGAACGTGTTTGCGGGTTGATTAACTTCTGTGTGTGGAATACTGATGATGGGGAACTGATGGGATACATGACTAGACTGTGTCATAATCTTTTGCTTATTTATAAGGATTCAATTAGGAAATTTATGTAAGTTTTTCAATGTGAAATGTCAAAAATTTTCATGTAAATATTAATTAATTATGTTTTTATTTTATTAGGTTGGTATATTTGTTAGCACAGGAAGCCATTTTCTTGCGTGAATTATGGCTATCAATAAAACGCAACGAGAAGAATATTTTTGACAGCGGGACAACAAATATGAGCACAGCTAACAAATGGAAAGAGTCACAGATTCCTGTTTCTGTATTCTGTGATTTATTCACGTTTTATACTGAAAAATTAACAGATTCAGGTAAAATTACGAATTTTTTGTGTATTTTTGACATTTTTATGATGAAAAACATTAATTTAGGTGCAAAAGATACAAGTGAAACCTTCAGCAATGAAGAATTAGCTGAAATCTCCGAAATGCTGAAACAAGTCGCCATTAGTTTGATTGATGTAGCGTATCCAATGTGTCGCACACCCAACAGTGTAGTAATCACACACGAAACGCTGCACTTTTATTACAGTGCGCTGCGTGCGGTGAAAAAACTCCACATGTTGGATATCCGCAAGAAGTTTTGCGAGAAAAACTTCTGGACGAAGCGTAAAGTTCACGTCTCGCCCGATTTAGCAAAAAAGAATTATTTAATGAAGACTTTGCGGCCGTTTTATGGCGTTGTACCAAATGATGACGACAGTAAGTCAATATTTAGTATTTTAATATATTTTCTATAAAAATTTATACTTAAAGGTGAAAATCTTCCGCCTTTATCCACAATCGAACAACGTTCACTTGCAATACTACAAGAACTTCCATTCCTGCTTGAATTTAACCAACGCGTGATGATTTTACGCCAATTGTGTTACTTTGGTTTCGGTAATGTGGAAGCGCGCTTGCGCAGTGAATTCACCAGCGATTTACCAATCACAGTGCGCAGAGCTTATTTATATGAAGACGCATTTGATAAACTTAGCCAACGTAATGGTAGGCAATCATTTAAACACAAAACACTTACATGATGATAATTTTTAATGTTTTATGTATAGATGATGATCTGAGACATAAATTACGTATACAATTCATTAATAATGTCGGTCTGGAGGAGGCTGGCATTGATGGTGGTGGAATTTTCAAAGAATTTATCAATGAAGTGCTCAAAACTGCGTTTGATCCAAACCGAGGCTTCTTTTTGCTTACTGGTGACAACACACTGTATCCAAACCCACAGGTGCATTTATTATTTGACAATTACATCGAACACTATTATTTTATTGGAAGATTAGTGGGAAAAGTAAGTTTTTATTGATTTTTCAATCATTTTTGTAATGTTTATAACTTATTCATACATTTTTAGGCGTTGTATGAAAATATTCTAGTCGATTTACCTCTTGCGGAGTTTTTCCTTGCGAAACTTCTCGTGGATCGCGCAAGCGCACACTACTTGGAGTCGTTAGATCCGGTCCTGTATCGCAATTTATTGTATTTACGTGATTTTAAGGGAGATGTACAAGAATTGGGCTTGGATTTCACTCTAGTTCATAATGATTTAGGCGAGACAAGAGTAAGTAACCTTAAAAATGCTAAATGGTTGTTATTTTCATTGATTTTCTAGGTTTATGAATTAAAACCGAACGGTAGCAACATTCCAGTGACGGATTTCAACCGTCTTGAATATATTCGTCTCCTAGCTGATCTTAAACTTAATTCTCAATTGAAAGAACAATGCGGCGCGTTTCGTGAAGGTCTCAATTCAGTCGTACCTTTATTATGGTTGAAATTATTCAATCATAATGAATTGCAAGTCATGATTTCCGGCGATACGCAAGAAATTGACATTGAAGACATGAAAACACACACGGTGTATGGTGGTGAGTATAACACCGAACATCCAACGATTGTTATGTTCTGGAATGTGGTGAAAACATTCACCGATGTACAAAAAAAGATGCTGCTGAAGTTTGTGACGAGTTGTTCGCGGCCGCCATTGTTGGGATTCAAAGAGTTGAATCCTTCGTTTGGTATTCAGTCGTCAGGCAGTGAAGATCGCATGCCTACGGCTAGTACATGTCTTAATCTATTGAAATTACCGGTGATAAATGATGAGGAGACGTTGACGCGGAAGTTACTCTCTGCCATTGAACAACAAGCAGGGTTTGAATTGTCTTAAATTGTATATTTATTGTTTTGTGGAATAAAATTTACTTCTGTAAAGTGGGTTGCCTACTTTATACAAGTGTGACATTAGATGCGCATGCGTTGTAAGTATGACACCGTTATACAGCTGGTTTTCAATGACAATTCTAACCTTAAAATGATTGACTATTTGAATTTGTAACGTTTTTCATTCGTCATGGCTGAATTCCATCAACGCAGCACTCGTCTCTTCAATGACACCAGCAGTGCACCTCAAGACTCCCTCCAAGGCTTAGTTCTACTCTATCCACATATAAACATCCTCGAGATTGGTAACACTGTCGTGCGCAAGGACTACGCCGCAATGGACACCTTCCGGATATTATCCGGTGGACCCAGCGGCCATGAGCCGATGTACTCCGGTTACGTAGGAAGGGGCATGCTTAGCGCAGCCGTACAAGGTGACATCTTCCGATCCCCCACTACATACGAGATACTCAACGTGATCAAAGAACTGGCTTACAAAAACGACTGGGGAGTGTTACTAATCATACAGAACTCATCATGCTGTGCGCTAAACTTCGGCCTAGCTGTAGAAAAAGCCCTAACGGAAGGTATAAAAGTGAAATGTTTGTTAACCACCGACGATTGCAGTGAACCACTGATGCCGCAGAAGAGTGACCAGAGTCAGGGTCTCACCGGGACAATAATCACGATAAAAGTCGCCGGAGCAATGGCGGACGGCTTCGCAGCGTGTTTAGAAGAAGTTCTAGAATACATCACCGAACTACAGAAACAGATGAGTACAGTTTTATTGGTATTGAAACCTTGTTCACTCGTTTTGGAGCAGAAATGTTTGTGTACGGAAGTAAACGCGACTTTAGGCGGTGATTTACGATCCAAACCGAAACAAAAGTTAAAATGTCTATCCGCCAATTACGTAGTTGAAGAAATGTTTAAAGAATTATCTAGAAACGTTCTGCTAGATCCCGGGAGTGAAATAGTCGTGATGATAAACAATATGTGTTGCTCCACATTAGAGGAAAACATTTTTATATCTGAATTTTTAAAGAAGTTTATTGCTATGAACATAAACGTGCAGAGAATCTACGTTGGGACATTTATGACAGCTGTGGATTTACAGGGATTTACAGTGACTGTTATAAAAAGCAGTGAGGAACTTCTAGAATACTTGGATTATCCGACCGAAGCGCCATCTTGGCAAATGCGTAACTTCGGAATAGAAACAAGTATCCAAACGAATATACAACCAAGAATAAAAGTGTTGAGTTTTCCGCGGATAATACCAAAAGGTCCTTCATTGAGTGAGCGTGAAAGTAACATTTTGTTACTTGTAGTGCAATTTGCATGTGACGCGTTGATATCTTGTCGAAAACAATTAGATATCATGGATTCTGAAGAGGGCGCTGGTGATGTGGGTATGAAGTTAGAGTTTGTCGCGAATACAATACTCAAAGGTTTGAAAGAGAGTGGTATTAATACAACGAATATGTTTGCGTTCTTTAAAATGTTGTCGAAGATCTGTGACACTGTCAATGGGTCTTTGGGCGCGATTTATTCGATTATGTTTGAGTCTTGTGCGAATACTTTCGGGAATTGTGATTGTGACGATGCAATTGATGAAAATTTATGGTTAGAATGCCTGCAGAATTCTCATATAGCTCTTAAAAGGTGAGTTATTAACAAAATATTAATAAATAATGTTTATTTATTTATTATTTTTGTTTTTTGTTTTTGTTGAATATAGTTATACACAGAATGAAGATCCTGCTTATAATATGTTGGCACCGTTGATTGCGTGTTCTGCTACTATACAGGAACAAATTTCGTTAGATAGGGTGCCTATCTTGCAGGCGTTTGAGAATGGTGTCGCCGAGGCGGAAATGGCTGCGATGAGAACAACGATTAAACATTATCCTGATCCCGGTGCGCATGCGGTTGGTATATGGCTGCGCGCTGTTTATGAAGGTGTCAAGTTTAGATGCCAGTATTAAGGAGTATAAAAGGTAAATAAATTGAGGGTTTTATAAATACAGGCATTTTATTTTTTTGTCTATACATTTATGGATGAATTTACAATTGTTACAAATACAATATACAAAGCCGCCATTATGAATTAATGGATATTGCTGAGTATGCGATGAGTGAGATTAGGTATATTGTATAGAATTGCCGCGGACTTTGTTTGAGTTTAATTTAGAGAGGACCCGAGCTATGATGAACAACCGTAGAATGAGTGAGGGGAGGGGAGAGGACCCTAGAGAGCTGTGACTGGACTGCTGGAAGACTCAGGCACTACTGAGCACGAGTGTCCTTGCGCGACGCCCTTTTATACCTGCGGTGCTTGAGGTTGAACGTGGTGGGGTGAAAGGAAGGAGTGGGGGAGGCCGGTGATGCGCAGTGGCGAGTCTGTGCGTGGAGTATCCGCAAAAAGTGGTGGGGGAAGTTACTGAGCGGTGCGTTGATGCTCGCGTCGGAACTCCTCTTCCCCCACCACTTTTTGTGGGTCAACCGCAGGTATAAAAGGCGCGCACTTAGTGCGATTTGAGTTCAGTCGTGTCTGAGTCGTCCAGCAGTCCAGTCCCAGTTTGCAAGGTCAGCTCTCTTTTTATCCCTCTCTGGTACCATTCCCCAATAAATCTTCTTTTTAATGTGTGACAACAAACATCCATACTATTAGTAATAATATAATATCTTCTAGTACTAGTACATCAAACACAATCTGGTATTGTGCTATTTATTGACAGTCAGTACTTTTGATTTACGCGTATTTCACATCAAGATGACTTAAGTTTAAGTCGGTTGTGTTGCTTTTGCTAAGTCTCCTAACAATCTATCAATTGCAACATCACCTACGGTTTGTTTGAAAAGTAATTCTTCAAGTCCACGTTTTGTTACACTCTGAACAGCAGGTAAAGCAAGTAATAGTTTACCAAAACGACCTTTGTGCGTACCCTGACGTTGTGTGCAGTATTCAGCGAGCATTACATGTGTCTGATCCTGGAGCATCTCCACGTGGTTTGTTTCACATAATCCACGACATTCTAAACATAAAATCAATGAGGTTTAAGTTCATTATTGAATTATGTAAGGCAAAGGCCGTGACTAAAGTACTTGTGCTTACCTGCTTTGAATAACACTAAAGCCTTTAAACAAGCGTGTTCCGTATGATCTACTCTTAATAGTGTTAATCGATTGATAACATCGCGAAGTTTCCTCGCGTCTTCTTCCAAACCTACTTGGCGATTACTCGGAGCTATTGCATTAGTGACCAACAGATCTAAAACAACAAAAAACAATATTTTTATTAACAATTTTACCTTAAAAATACTGATTTCTTACTTTCATCAATTGGTAATGCCCACTGTGCTGCCGTTAAAATAAACAACTCATTCCAACTCTCCTCTAGAAGCACAGACTGATCGCGGTAAGACAATTGCAAAAACGAAGGAATACTCCGTGCCCATTTAATACTCAAAAACAATAATTTCGCGGCGGATTCGTAGATATTTTCAGTAGGGAATAGAACATGTCCCACGTGTGGCATCTCCACCCTTCGGACACTTTGCGGTGGCTCATTATTCATAATCGGTAATTCTAACCGTTTATTATCTACGGGTGATACCACTTCAATGGGTTCCTCTGTTTTAGTACTTGCTTCTTCACTACTGGTAACTTCATCTTCTTTCAGTATTTGTTGATGACTCAGGGCTGAAGGGGATGTGAAAAGAGGCTTGGAATATATCGAATCTAGAAATTTATATTTTAAAATTATTAGTACAGGTTTTTTTAAAATTTTAATACCGGTTTTTCGCTATACCGGTATTTTTTATCTAGTAATACCGGTATTTATAAAAATAATTATTAGATATCGGTATACCGGTATTCCACACTCCCATTTGATTCTTCTGTAATTTTTTTGATGAAAATATTGAAAAATACCGGTATTTAAAAATATAAAATACCGATATACCGGTATTTCACACCCTTAGTAACTATTTACTTACTATTAAACATTGGCTTAGCAAAAGTGCCTTGCAACATATTAGGATACAATAATCCTTGTTGAATATAATTGCTATGCATGGCAGGATCCAGTATAGACGCAGCTGGCGCATGTAAATGCAATGGAAGTCCTTGCAGTCCCGTGAAGAACGTCGACGACTGCAATCCACGTAGCCGCGGTGCGAACGACAGCGGATAGTGATGCATCGACGCTTGTGCGGTGGTGCGCGGCGCCCTCTCGTGTTGAACAGCTGATAAAACAAAACGAATTCATGTCGGTACTAAAAGTCTACAAGAAAACCACTTTGGGATATTCTCCTATACTCCTATAAATTTCCTCAACGTGTGGGAAAACAACAGGTGCCTGTTTCAGCGTCTTCTGTTTTCCCCTCGACGCTTTTTCGTTGGCGCGCTTTGTTTGGGGCGATAATAACCGAAACGTGCATATATTTATATTCCTATTATTACGCCGATGTGTGTTGGTGGTCTGACATGCGGCGGCTGGGGTCGACGCGCGAGGGCGGCCGTCATTATGTCAGTCTCGCGGCTCGCAGTCGTGCATAAGTGATCGGCGGCGCGGGGGGCTGATCGTTATTACCAATCGTTATGCGCGGCGTATCGGCGAGGAAATGAGCGATTGTTGGAAAAACACACTCGTGCGTGCATGGTATTATACACGTCCGAAAGTGGAAAAGTCATTGTAAGACTGGTGTAATCGGTATAATTTATGAATTGTTAAGTGTGTACAATGGCTACATGCGCATGGATAATAATTATTAGAGAAATAAAAGAAATATTCTTCAATATTCGGAAATGGAGGAATATTTTTGTGTAATTTTTTATTTTTTTTTATTTTTGGTATTTAAAAAAATTATTTTATCATTTTTTGATAAGAAATTGTGTTTTATCATCGAAATTGGTAAAATTTTAAGGAATTATTTGTTTTGATAGCGAATTTAGGTTATTTATAGGCAGAATATTGAATTTTGCAGTAATTAAAGTTATTAAATATCTTTTTAGCTTCGAGAATTTAGTGAAAAAGTTAAATTTTCATCATTTGTTGCAAAGATGCATTACATTTTCGAGAAAAAACGTGAATATTCAGCATTTACTACAAAAACTGAAATTTTTGAAAGAAAACAATGTTTTTCTCTGTATTTTATGAGTTTTTTTAGTAAAAACTAAACAAAAACTTTCTAAAAATTCTTTAATTCTTAGAAAATTGATGAAATTACAAGAAATAACCATGAATATTTAGTTATAAAAACATTTTACGTCTTTATATATTACCTTAACTTAAGTTAATTTAAGTTAACTTAACTTAACGTAAATAATGACTTAACGTGTTCTTGAAAATGATCAAGGATCTCTCAATAACATACTTAGACGATTAATCGTTTTGCATCACCATGGGATGAGTTCATGAACAACCAAATTAATAATAATAACATTTTTCATGTTAAACACCGAAACGATGAGTAATTTTGCTAAACATTCATATTCTTCTCAAAAGCAACAAAAAAACATGCACAAATAGATAAATAAAATAAGATAAATAAAAAAAAAAAACTTCAAAATTTTACAAAACAAATAATTTAATTAACATAACTTAACTAAAAATAATAATAAAACACAAAAAATACAATAATATTATTGAAATAAACTGGCTGCTAATAAAACTCGTCAAATTGTGCAATTTTCCAGCTTGCATCGAAAACCTTTCGTGTTAAACGTAACAAAAAACAATAATTAAGATTTAATCTTCGCTTGGACTCGGACTGTTAATTACAAAATAGTAAACTATGCAAAACAACACGATTCGCGTGTTTTTCTGTACGATTCAGTCGGTGATGATTATTCGAATGGAACAAAAGGCATGCGCATCATTTACATTTCAATCTGCAAGAGAAAAAAGCACAAAAAAAACTAATTAAATCATAAAACAATAAATATCATTAATTACCATGCAAATTTATTAATCTAGCAGAGGCATCGAGGTAGAAAACCCAACTGGGCATAAAATAATTATTAAAACATAATAAAAATAAGAATTACTTACAATTACAATTTTTATGATTTTTTTTGTGTTTTTAAACAGTCTTTGCGTGTTTTTCGTACTCATCGATCGGTATAACTTTCAATTTTAAGATGTTTTTAATCGGCACGGTTTTCTCGAACTCCCCGGTGAATTTCCGACCCTCGTCGTGCTCCAGATTCAAGCGGCGCGGTTTTTTCAGCCGGCGTACACGCACAACCGGCGTGCCGTCAATCATTTCCGTCGGTTCTTTATTTGTTAAATCCGTCGAAGAAGTTGCAGCGCGTGAGGAAATTTCAGCAATATTCACGAGTAGTAATATTACAACAATTAACCACATTATTTTATTATTATTCATTTTATATGTTTTTTTGTTTTGTTTTATTGGTTTTGATTGTGAGAAGTTACTTTGACTACTGTTCGCGATCAAATGCCGCTGCGCATTGCGTGAGCATCATATAAATCGCGCAGAAAACGTGCAAAACGCCGTAAACGTGACGCGCCGGCAGAATCGCGGCTTCTTCACTGCCGCGAACAATAAATAAGTGAGAAATGAGTAAACAAACGCCGCCAGCTTACGTAATTGGCGACTTATTTGTCTTTCATGGCTTTTATTTCATGGGTGGCCTTGATTGCGATACGAGAAATAGAAATAGTACCGATTTATAGTGGAATTTATGAGGAGACAAGGAAAATTATGTTGAGATACAGTGAATTTATTAGATACGCATAATGTATGCAACCAGGAATAACTTAAAATGCATTATGGGTTGCGGAACATTCTAATAAACAAAAATTTAGTTCTAATTGGGATAAAATGTTGTAAAAAAGTGAAAAACATGTCAAAATTTTGTATATTCTTTGATTTTCTCTAGAGAAAAGTGAAAAACTTGTAAAATATTGGTATTTTCTTTGATTTCCATGAGAAAAACATAAATTTAGCCGTAATTTATGAAAACACCGTTAAAATACTGTTATTTTCTTAGTTTTACTTAATATATGCAACCACATAGTCACACGTGTATTCTGTGTTGCATAACAATGAGGAAACTTCTTTCTTTGAACTAAATTTTAATTCTAACCGTGATAAAATGTAGTAAAAAGGTGAAAAACCTGTCAAAAGTCGTTTTTTGCTTGATTTTCTCCAAAAAAAAAAGCTAAATTTTAGTTAAAATTCTCATAAAACATCGTGAATTTACTAATTTCCCATAATATATGCAACCATAACAACCCACATGTATCCTATGTTGCATAACAATCAAGTCCTGCTTTCTCTAAACCTCAAACCTCAATTCTAACCTCAATATATTCCACCAAAGCACTAAAAAGCATGTCAACTGCAGCGTGTGCACGACTTGAATAAACAATATGCGGATGACACCCACTTGCATCCACTCTATCGCCATCATCATAATATTGACACGACGCTTGCCTCTAGCCATATTTATTCAATTGTATACCCTTCATGCGAATATACAGAGTGTTTCGCCGCATTATTAGATGAGCATGCAGTTTTGTGATGTTTGATATTTGATACACTATTGCGCTGAAGTGTTTACTTCACCCTGCGTGGCTCTCACGTCATTAAACACCCCGAAACACACCCTTCGTCTTTTTGTGTGTTGTGTGTTGAGAGTTAAACTGTGAGTTCCGCTGCTAGGGGAAGGAAATTCTTGTGTCCAAATATAAACAGTCGCTAATTGATTGTGGAGAGCAAGTGTCGCGCGCAGATACGAGTAAATTATGAATGTGATTGTAAGTTTGATGTTTATTTTATTATTTCATTACATACCATCGCGTTTCATGTTGACCTGAAGACACTTGCGGAATCTGCACGCTTGACATTGATTTCGGCGTGTGACGTCGACAATACAGCGGCCATTTTCTTTACAGACGTATTCCAAATTTCTAAATTTAATAAACATGATGAGAGAAATTAGTTTTTTTATTAATTTGAGTGGTTTTGTGGTGATTTTTACCTTCGAATGCTTCGTTTGAAGAATCCTCGACATCCGTCGCAACTGGAAACGCCGTAGTGTTTTCCCGACGCTTTGTCGCCGCATACTTTGCACATAAGTTCAGTTTTTCCGTTTGATAGATTCTCCTCCATTCTATAAATCAGAAATTTAAAAATTGTGTTAAAATAGTGAATTATTGAGTTAAATTCGTTAAATGTCGTTCAACTTTTCGGTTAGAAGCATTCAAATCAATGATTATAGTATTTATTAATAATTTGTGCAAGTAGCACTCAAATAACAATAAATTACACGGCAATAGAAGCGTAAAACACAATATTGTTCCAATTTTACCACAAAATAATTATATATTTTTTATATTACTCAGTTAGCATTAAAAACTATGAGTTTTATTTTTAATTTTTAGTTTTTTCTTTAATTTATCTAAAAATTTAATGTTTTACAGCAGAAAATGACTCATAGGTATCTATATTTTATAGTAGTGCTTGTAGTGACATAGTAACATATTGTCCTTTGTATTTTTTTACCTGTTAATTATAGGGATCCGCTTGATTTTGATTTATGACGGCAATTATACCCTCTCACGACTTTTTCGGACAATATGTGTCAATTTTTAATGGTTTAGAGTAGAGGCAAGCAAACAAAGATAACCATCATAAATGATTCTTAAAATAAATATTTAACAAATAACACTTACACGTGTAATGTTTTTATATTTTTTTCTTCTCTACTCGCAAAAATAATCGTAAACAAAACTATAAAATTCATTTTACTAATTAATACTTGTTTATTTTTAAAGTTACGACGCAAAAATTTATTTCTTCGGTAATTATTTAAGTATTAATAAATATTACTTAATATAATCATTTAAAAATACTACAAGGATAAAAAATTGTTTGTTTGGTGGCCTAATCTACTCCACAACATAACCAACATTTAAAAATATCAAAAATATTATAAAATATTTCATATTTCACCTTAAAAACACAAATTTTACGACATATTGAACCCTGATGCATAATTATTATATCTACCCTACTCGTATCGGTATAAATGCGTCTTACCTATATCAAAATATGTTGTCTGCAGGTAATGCAAGAAAAATCGTAACATATTGCGTAATTTGTAGGTATAATCAGTGCGTGCGTATCGTAACATATCGTAATAAGACGTAATTGCAGTGCGTTTGCACCGCATGCACCTATCTATCGAGGCAAATATGTTACAGGTGTTAAAGTCGCATGGGGTTGCGCACCCAGCGCACCGCAATCGCGGCCGCATGAAGCCCCTAGGCACCACCAATATGAAGGGTGCATATTCGATTATCGTATCGTGTGTATCGCATCAGATCGTATTTAAAAGTCATTTTGACCCCTTGTGGCCCGGAAAGTCAGCTTTGAGTGTAACACGTGTGTAAAGTTTATAATAATTACATTTCTGGTAAAAGGGGGTGTGAAATACCGGTATAGTGGTATTTTTTTAAATTTTTGTATTTTTAAATACAATATTACTTGGAATATAGGTATACCGGTATACCGATATTTTGATTTTGGAGTGCGAAATACCGGTATTAATACCGGTATACCGGTATTTCCTGCTTCATATACCGGTATTATTGGTATTACAATCAAAATTTTGATTTTTTTTTAAATCCATACTGTACGATATCAGTATTAAAATACCGGTATACCGAAATACCGGTATTGAACTGATAAAAATGAAGTTTTTGTTTTCTTTTTACATTTTTTTACTTAAAAATGGAAAGTAATCAATCATCACACATTTTTTTCCTCTAAAAAGTTTAACCAAAGTCTAAAATCAAAAATCAATTTGGTTTGTTGCCTGACAACTTCTTCTTTTGTAAAATAAGTCAAAACCACATGTTACAAAAAATTGAAGACCTGAATATCTGAATAACTTATACTCCAAACGTTAAAACATTGAAAACTTTGACAAGGGGTAGTTTCGGGGTAGTTTTCTGGTTTGTTTCTACTCTGGCGTGACACGTGCACGTAAATTATGAGTGGTGGTCAATCAAGCACGACGATATCAACCAAAATATTAATTAACTGATAATAATACACTACACTACACTTAATTACAAATTATTACCGATCTACAGGGTATTTAATTTGTATTTTTTCATTTCAATAGAATATATAAAGAAGCAGATGTTTTCTGACTTGCAAATCAATTAATCAGATGACTATATAAAAAATAAAATTGATTTTATTGTGTGCAGGAGCATAATAGCACCTAGAGTGCAAATGTATGTTGGGTTGCATAATTTATTATGGAATTTACATAATTTATTTGCATTTGCATATTGGTTGATCATCAAAACCATCAATAGAGGTATCACAATGTCATTTTCTAATACTTTTAGCTTTGTACATCAATTTGTGTCTTTAGAAACTTCAAAAATGATCTCATGAATAATAAGTTGCCTATATACTAATGATTTGCACATGACTAAGTATTTTTTATACAAATTTTAATTCTTTAAGGAATAAAACCCTTTTAACCTTTTTACCTGATGTTTAAAAGGTGTATAATATTAAATTTTAAAATTTACTTACTTTTTTTATTGTTTATTGCACTTTAAATGTTTATCATTGATGAAACACTGCACAACACAAAACTTTTCACCGAAATATTTCTTAAAATGTTGATTAGCGCGCGCTGAAAAGTCACAAATCAAAGTGGCGAGTTTCTCGACTACCCCCTCGGGTTATAGCGTTGACTTGCGCCCCGAAAGGCCTTGAGCGCCGGCCCCGCCTTCCGCCCTCGCCGGATTAAAGAGCGCCGATCGCGCGTGCTGCCGATTGGCCCTGCGCCCTCGAAACCCACGCCACGGATTGGCCGCCGGCGCCAACCTTTGCTCACCCTTTCGACCTGTCGCTGAACACCGACCAGCCACCGCACGCGCCGCTTCCCACCGCCGCCTCCACGCCGCAACAAAGGCAAAACAATGCTGCATCAATTATTCACGCTCAATACTACCGCTAAATAGTTATAAATTACATTTGGGATGACGATACATGAAAAAATAGAAGGAAACATGTTTCGGGTATGAATTGTTCATGAATTGTTCATGTAAACTACTTGTAGATACGGCTGATTGTTTATTGTTCACCGGCGGCCATTTTGTATTGTTGTGATCATTGAAAGTAACATATTGAGGTCACAAAAGGACAAATTATGTGAGGATTTTTGTTCGTTTGGAGTTTTTAGGGCACAGATTGCGTGTATGCACGTTTTGTACATTTGCCGCCTTCGTGGGACTAGTAAGTGGTGTTTTGTGCACGACCACGAATTGCTTTTAATTGATTTCCGATAAAAGGTTTCAGGGGGCGGCTGGGTGAGTGAGCGAGCAGACATAATAGCGGTGAAGTGTTGACATCTTCGCGGCATTGAAGCAGACGCTTCAGACAGTTGCTGCGCGCCGGCGGTGTGAAAACGCGCAGATGTTCTCGTAGCAAGGGAGGCGGCGGCGGCAGTGCTTGTTCACGATGCCAGCGCACTTAAAATACGCTCAAGGCGTGTAAAGTGTGATGCACTTCATGAAAAAAGTCGCATTTCATCTTTTTTCTTGCTTTTTTTTATTAGAAACACAAAATATATATTTTTATATATAAAATAAAATTATTTGTGTGGTATTAATTGATTTTTATTAGTTTTTATCATTAAAATACTAAAAAAATCAATTTTCTATCGCAAAGGGTTTTCATGTTATGCCACCAACCAGAGTTACTGATGTATTCCTGGTTGCCTACGTTAAATATTGATTGAAGTCATATGATTTTGACGCTTTTATTACAACCAACACAAACATTTTGTGCTTTCGATTGAAGAACAAATGAAAGACAACAATAAAATGGGTGAACAAGCTGTTTTCCCCCAAAACAACGCCCCAAATGACCAAAATGAGGAAGACATGGAAGAAGATCACAATGAATCAGAAGAGGAAGATGATTTGGAAGACATGTCCCAAGAAGGTACAAATTTAATATTTAAAACACTATTTATAAACAAATTAATGGCTAATAATATCTATATTGTAGAATTTAATGCTTTAAACAATAAAATGGACGAGTTAAACTCAGCACTGGACAATATTGAACAAAAAAACGAAGTAATCTACTCTGAATTGCTGAAACTCTTGCAAGCGAATCGCGAAATTCGCGAACAAATGGAGAGTCAATCACAAACAGCAAAAGCCTCCAAGTCATCTGAGCAATAAGATTAATTAGTTGATAATAATGTAAATAAGTACAGTAGTTTTGTTGCATTTATGTGTGTTTTAAACATTATAAGTTCAAGGAGAAAAAATGATAAGTTAATTATATGTAAATATGATAAGAGCGTTGAGAATGTCGCAAAGATTATTACGGAATAACTGAAACGAGAGTGAAATTGATTTTTATAACCCCGAAACGTAAAAATAACGCGAGAGTCAATGCCAGTTTGACAATTGACGGACGCTGTGTGTGGTTGTGGAAGTGGAGATGCTGTGTGATGTGAAGATTTTCGTAACGCGCTGAAAGTCGAAATCCCATCGTAATGATATTCGACAACACGCAAACGCAAATATGGGCCATCCACAAGCGCACAACCTTTAATTATCAACTCCAGCAGCGCGACACACTCCACAACGATCCAAATTCACCAATGTAAATTGTATAACCTTGCAAGTGAAGCAAAATTGAGCGGAAAATTCGACTATATGGTATTCAGATAAATTCGAAATGGTTTGGTAATGTATTGGAATTAGTATGTTAAGCACCAGCTGACATCAACATGTATGCTGCGTTTATTGAAGACTTGGAGAGCCACTACAAGCAGATTGAATGGCGAGAGTTTGCTTGTGGATGGGGTGCTGCGTTCATCAACATCACACTTACATATCCCATCTATAAAATGATATTTAGACAAGTATAACATCAAAAAAACAAAATTTACTTGAAAAAATTAAGAATTTTTTTACTAATTTTAAATATTTTTAGATGTTGGATGGGATATCAATGAAATCAGCCCTGCTGCAGTTACACAATGAAGGAATCTACTTCCTCTACCGCGGGATGGCGCCCCCGCTCGCACAAAAAACCCTCTCGCTGTCAGTGATGTTCGGCATGTACGAGAACATCCGTCGCCCTCTTAACGCCTGCAACGTCAATGATTACACAGCGAAATTCATCGCAGCAATGCTTTCCGGCACTGCTGAAGTCACTTTCATGCCCTTTGAACGCGTGCAAACCCTATTATCTTGCTCAGCGTATCATCTACAGTTTCGCAATATGTATCATGCATTCCGCGTGGTTGGTACCTATGGTTTCACCGAATATTACCGTGGAATCGTCCCGATTCTATGGCGCAATGGTCCGTCAAATGCGTGTTTTTTTATCGCACGTGACGAAGTCAATAAGTTAATACCACCGGAGAATTCTGTGCTATTGCATACGGTGCATGGGTTTGTAAGCGGTGCGGTGATTGGCGCTGTCACTTCGAGTATATTCTACCCGTTGAACGTGGTGAAAATCTCAATGCAGTCGACGCTGGGCGGTAGAACACCGAATATGTTCGTGGCATTCAAGCAAATCTATGTTGAGCGCGGCGGGAAGATTCGATATATTTACACGGGGATTGAAGCAAATTTAATTCGCGCGTTCCTAGGCTGGGGGGTGATGAATGCGGCCTATGGCTACATGCGGCGGATATTTTTCGAGTAAAGAGTGATGAGGTGTACAAAAGATACAAACTCGTTTTTAAGTTTTAAATAAATCAAGCATTTTATTATTATTTTTTTGCATCAAATGCAACCAGGGTTCATCAACTCGGGGTGGAAAATGTATAGAAAGGAAACTCACCCTCGTCCTAAAGATATGCAACTTGTGTTGCAATTGTGTCATATGATTTGGTAATAAGTGTTAAATATTGTGAAGTAAATAAATTAAACTAGTCTAGGGAATCCAAATTGTAGTATTAAAGTTTATGTTTCGTTTATGAATTTTTTGTTCTGGAAATTACTTCAATTGAAAATATTATACTGGATATTACAACACCGATAATCCACATGAAAAAAATGCTAGAAAAATGAACTAAACTTAGTTTTTTCGGGTATTTAGTTTGCTTATTCATACTGCTTAAGTATCTGTACAGTGGTTTGCCTATATACGGATAAAATGCTTGCTTGTCCCAGATTTCTAACAATCCACAATCAAATGTGTACATTATAAACAGGGAAATTGATTCAGTCAGTACAGAATTACGTCTTAGAAACGCCGCGTTGTACCAGGTGAAGACATTTTCTTTAATTGGTTTGTATCCGATGATATTTTGTTTGTTTACATATTCTTCCATGCCAAAACTATGATCGGTCAAACGCACAGCAAAAATGGCGAAGTGATCACGTCTATTAACGCGTTGTTTCATTTCTTCTAGACTGTATTCTTTGAATATTGATAATATTATCATTAAACTGCCTTTTGTAGCGTTTGCCAGTGGTATTGCATTGCTGCTTTCAGTTCCACCCCATTCTAAGTCACTTTGTGCGAAATCTTCGACTGTTTTTATGTCTCCGAAGTAATGCGGGGCTGTAAAACTACTGGCGAGTTTGGATGAGTACATAGATAAGACTAAAAATGCTTGGAGTAACATGGCGATGGTAAACAAACGCAAAACGTTTGTTTTTGGTAAGTTTTTGTTGGTACTGATTGTTGTATTGCTATACGATATACCAATCGTGGTGACAAAATGTCTGCCGATGTGGAATTGTATTTTTTAATCAATATGATGATACAAATATGTGTTAAAGGGATAAGATGAATAATATCCAAGCACCGAAGGTGAATTCTAAAGTAAATACAGACCAACCATTGATTTCCCTGTAAAATATATACTAATATACTTTTTTCAGGTTAATAATTGAAAAGTTTGACCCCTGGCGGCCATTTTGTATACTTACGTAGCTTTTGGCACGATGACAGTCACTTCTGTTTGGAAAATAATGGAAGTCATGTCTTGTTCTGTCCATCTTTCAGCTGTTAAGAATATTGACCTTATTCCAAGGTCTGATCTTCCATCTATGAAAAGTTTAAATATTTCTTTTGTTTTAATGTGTGTTGGAATCATATTCGGGTTACTATAATCCATTCCATTGATTATTAATTGATTATTGTGGATTCTAGCGTATTCAATTGCTATGTTTAATAGGCAACCAGCTTTGCGATTAATAACAACCCTCGGCATTTTATTAGATGTACTTATCCTTAATGGTCGGCCATGTTGATTCGTAAACTTATCAGGGAACAAAATAGCTGAGTTTTTAAATGCTTTCTTACAAACACTGAAAGTATCTAAAAGTATAGGCCTACCGCCATCTTGTCCAACGTATTTATGTGTGTATAAGTTTATATCACTTGAATTACAATCACTTTTGAGGTTATCAAAGATATTATATTGATAGTATGCTTCCGGTTGCACTGCAAGGAGTAATAAGTGAATGAGAAAATGTAAACTTTTAGTTTGAAAGATATTATTCAGTGAATCATTGCTTCTGTCAGTTATTACGATGATTCTTCGATTGTGATAACGAAAACTGATATTGGCATACAACAATTGCTCATCGATGCTGTCAAGTATTGTTTCGGTATAGTTAGAGTTGTTTTCTACGTCCCAGATGATGATACAATCACAACGTTGTGGAATTTGACTAAATAATGATGAATTTGTTATTAAATAATTTGTTGTGTTATCAAACACGTTTATTGTTATCTGCTGATAATTTGGAGCAATGTGCAGTAAGCAATTGTTCAAAGAATTGTTGATAATATAGTTTTTAATTACTATCTCTAACAGAAATTGAATGGCGGCCATGTTTATGACACTTTCACTTGTTTTTTGTTTATTTTTACAATCACATCAACTCTTTATAATCAAATTAGGAAATTGGATTCGTTACGCCAGTTATGATTACATCCTGACAAGATATAAATAGATGAGGCGGTTGAGGCAATAAATAAAATAATTATCACGTCATCCAATAATGGAATGAATGTTTTTACGTGTTTTCAATCTAATACAGTTCGTGTGAATTAAATCGATTTATTGTTGTTATTGTTTATATAGAAATCGCTGGATATTATTAATAGTTGTTAATAATGGCCATAGATCGATTATATAAACAAAACAATACAAAATTGTTTACATATAGTGTAGATAAATGAATGAAAAAACATTATTTATTAGGAAATAGCTTATATTAATGATAAATGGGACCAAAAATGGAAACAAATGATGTTTACATTAACAAAAGCAGTTAAATCTAGTTTATCCAAATATGTAATGTGTTTCTTGTCTTTATCTGATGGTTTATTGTAGTAATAATCCGTGTAGTGACCATTTCACATAGAAATGTTATACAGGAAACTGTAATTCCTATACTCCATAATAGGAATATACTGTGGAGATGTACCAGAGTTAATTTTTTCGGTTCTGGGTCTTCATGAATAACACTGCTTAAATATCTGTGAATAGGTTTTCCTATCATTGGGTAAAAGGCCTGTAAAAATCAAACAAAATGATAAATATTGAGGAATAGCATAGTCGGCCATTTTGTAACCTCAAAAATGCTTAAAATGCTACTTTACCTGTTTATCCCAAATCTCCAAAAGGCCACAATCAAACGAATACATAATAAACATGGATATATCTTCAGTCAAAACAGAATTACGTCTTAAATACGCAGTATTACACGCTGTGAATATATTATCACTCAACCTCTTATACCGTAAGATATTATTTCCATCCACGAAGTCTTCAACACTTAGATAATTACCAAAAATTCGTATTGCCAATAATGCAAAGCGATCACCATCATCAACCCTGAGTTTCATTTGGTCCAAAGAATATTCTTTATACTTTTTGTATATTATCCTTGATAATTCCTATAAAAACATTAAAATTTACAAAAGAAAAAACGCAAAAACTAAAATATTCATATAGCATACTTTTGGATCAGTTGCCAAAGGTATAGCATGACTAGCTTCGGTACTCCCCCACTCCAAATCACTTTCAGCAAAATCCTCCATTGTATTAATATCACCCAAATACTGCGGCCCCGCAAAATTACTAGCCAGCTTAGAATTATACATAGAAACAACAAGAATCGCTTGCACCAACATGGCGATTGTATAAACACGCAGGACACTGGTTTTTGGTAAACCGGAAGTTGGCACTGGTTGTTGCACGGCAATTATGTACACTAACAGTGGAGGTACAACATCTGTCACCGAAATGTATTTTCTTATCAATATGATAACACACATATGAATTAAAAGGGATAAGATGAATAACAACCAAGATCCAGTGGTGAATTCTAAAGTAAACACTGACCAACCATCAATTTCACTAAAAATAATCATAAGGAATGTTTAGGTTATGTTAGAAAATGGTAGCCATTTTGTGGTCTTACGTTGCTTTGGGTACAAGAACAGTCAATTCAGTTTGAAATGTCATTCCTGTGACATCTTGGGCTGCATACCTCTCCTCAGTGATATAAAAAGATCCTAAAAATTAAAAATTTAGCATTTTATAACCTAAAAACATGGAAATATACTTATTCCAAGGTCAGATTGTCCATCAATGAATAATTTAAATATTTCAGTGGATGCCATGTAGGTTGGTATCTTATCAGGCTCACTATAATTCATTCCATTGATTATAAACTTCATATTATGTATTCTTGCGTATTCCATTGCTATTTTCAATAAAGAACCTAATTTTCTCTTTATAATAACCTTAGGCATGCGTTGTGATGTACTTATCTTCAATGGTCGGCCATGTTGGTTCTTTAACTTGTCAGGAAACAAAACGGCGGAATTTTTAAATGTCCCCTCACAAACACTGAAAGTATCTAAAAGTATAGGTCTACCGCCATCTTGTCCAACATATTTATGTGTGTATAAGTTTATATCACTCGAATTACAATCACTTTTGAGGTTATTGAAGATATTATATTGATAATTTGCTTCCGGTTGCACTGCAAGAAGTAAAAAGTGAATGAGAAAATGTAAACTTTTAGTTTGAAAGATATTATTCAGTGAATCATTTGTTCTGTCAGTTATTACGAGGATTCTTCGATTGTGATAACGAAAACTGATATTGGCGTACAACAATTGCTCATCGATGCTGTCAAGTATTGTTTCGGTATAGTTTGAGTTGTTTTCCATGTCCCAGATGATTATACAATCACAGCGTTGTGGAATTTGACTAAATAACAATGAATTTGTTAGGTAATAATTTGTTGTGTTATCAAATACGTTTATTATCTTTTGAAAGTTTGGAGCAATGTGCAGTAGGCAATTGGTCCAAGACACGTTGATAATATAGTTTTTAATAATTAATTCTAATAGAAAATGCACAGCAGCCATTTTTGTTTGTTATTAATAATTTTGCGTACGTATACTAACAATATTGTTGGTATTGACTTCTAGTTGTATAAACACATTGCGTGTACATGTTTATAATTACAATAGTTTTGGTTTTGTTATCTATATCAATCAACAAAAAAATGGAACAAAATATTAATTTAGAAAATTGCATATTTATTGAGTGTTGTAGACCGGACCTACTTTAATATTGTTATTATTGTGTTATTAGGTTTTGGTTTTAGCTGCCAGTTATTAATATCACCTACAATGATGTCCATTTATTATTTTATGTTGAAAACATGATGAACCTTGACAATATTCATGACAGTGACATCATATAAACATTAATTTGATTGTAGATTGTGGTGGATTATTCAAGGGAAGAAAAAAACTCGTTTTATTTCTTATTACATAATTTTATTAACAAGTTCGAAATACCACACAGCAAATCTTCTTGTATTCACCTTGGCAAAGCTAAAACAAAAACAAACGCACATCAACACATCACAAAACGCATAAGAAAAACAAAAAACAACACATTAGCAATACATAACATAAATCTAACCTAAAAAACATAAAAACCTAAAAAGCTATACTATACACTCAATACGTAAGCAATAAATTAGGTTAGCCGCCATTTTGTCTCTCAAAAAATATTTCTAGGTTAGTAAATCTTAGAAGAACCTAGCCATCATGAAAATTGAAACCATAACTACCATATTCAATTGCGCAGCAGTAGCAGAATTGTCTTTATCTTCTTTCTCTGCTTCAACATCAAACTGCTTCAACCAGTAGCTATCCAACAAATGATACAAGTGTTTTGAGACTCCCTTAAGACTATGGGCTTCATCCGGGTAACTCTAAACCATAAAAACAATTAAAATCAAAAATTTCAAATTTAGGTTATGTTTACATACCATTTGTTCAAATGGCACATCAGCTTGTTCAAGCGCTCTAGCCAACTGCATCGCCTGCTGATAATGCACATTATCATCAGCATTACCATGAACCAACAGGTAATTCTTCCCTCTGAATTGCTCCGCTTGTTTGGTAACATCAGTCTTCTCATAACGCGTCTTCACTTCATCATTCTTATCATCGTAAACACCCATATAACGCTCAGTATAAATCGAATCGTAATAAATAAAATCTGTAACTGGCGCAACAGAGACACCACACTTGAAGGTATCCTTATCACGGGCGATGACATGCGCAGTGGCATATCCTCCATAACTCCATCCCCAGATTCCGATTTTATTCGCATCGATAACCGGGAATTCATCACGCAACGTTCTAAAAATAAAAAAATAAATTTTAAGGTTAAATTTTGAGGTTAGATAACCTAATATATAAAATCACTTACTTTGTGATAGAAATCTGGTCATCAATCTCAAAACCTCCTAGATTCTTATAAACAGCATGCATTAACTTCCGGCCACGTTTACCACTTCCACGAGCATCAATATACGCATAGATATAATTCCTGCTGGTAACCAGATAATGCTGCAGGCCGATGGAGTAAGCATCCGAAATTTGATTGGAATTGGGCCCACCGTAGACATTTACCAATAGTGGGTATTTCTGGGACTCACTGAATCCAGGTGGGAGTAACAATCGGACTGAAGCTGTCTGACCATCAGATCCCACATTGTATGTTTGATCTTTGATGATTGGTTGGGCTTTCTGGGAGAGTAATGCACGAACATTTTTGTTATCCAACCAAACATAGCTTTTTGTAGGCTAAAAACATTAAAATATAGGTTATGTGAGGTTATGTTGTATATACTAAGTTATGATATTATATTTACATCTTTGAGGTTAATTATATCAACATAAGTGGGTCCAGGTCCGGAACATATGCGTGTCATGTAGGTTTTACCAACACTCAGTACAGCACTGGCATATTTACATGGTTCATTCATCACGAGGAACTGGTCATCACAGGTTAGACATTTGTAGGGGTCAGCACTGTCGATGTCAACGGAGTAGACATGTTGTTGGGAGTGGGTTGTTGCTTTGGTACCTTCAAAGTAGCTAAAATAAAAAAATTAAAAAATTTTGAGGTTATGGTTGAGATTTTAACAGACGCCATTTTTTTTCTTACATTTTACTCTTGTCTGTATCCCCGATGATTCTGGACACTGTCATCTGTTCAAATGTGACTTCGGTGCTGTCATCTTTTCCTGCGGTTACTCTTAAAGCATCATAGGAGTCCTTAACAACAATATCCACGAATCTTTTGCTTGCGTCATCGTTTAGGACATGTACGGGTTGGATATCCAACCATCCGGTACTGGAAGTAGTTGATGTTGCTAACTGTGTACATTTTTGTGTATCCACATTGCATTCGACGATGTATGCATCCGTTTGGGCACGGTTTGTATAAGTGACGATTACTTTCTGGTTGTCTCTCCATGCAACGTTGTATAAAACGTGGTTCTTGGAGTTGAAGTCAGCTGCTTCGCTTAGTGACAACTTCTTTGGTGGTTTGTTGCTTGGGTCATAGACGTACAGGGTAAACTCGGGGTTGGTTTGACCTACTTTGGGATAGCGGATGGTTTTCCATTCGGGGTACTGGTTGGCGTAGTCTCCGGGTTTACCATAGATGGGGTATTGGAATTTGGGGACATCGCGGTCGTTGAATTCGGCGTAGATGAACTTTGGGCTGGTTGAGGATGGCCATAGGGCGGAATCACCAGCAATTACTTCTTCTGTTGGTGGAAATAGGGTTAAATTGAGGTTATTGGAGTTTGAGGTTAGGTTATATTATGTGTTATGTTAGTTACCTTCGTAAATCCAGTCGGGTACGCCATTGTAAACCACGTCTTTTTCACCCAGAGTAGTGACTTGGTCCAATGTTGGTTTATCAGCTGGATTGGCAGGGAATTTATGGTAGAAAATGTTGTTATCCTTCACGGCGATAAGGACATCATCTTCATATGGAGAGAAGCGACACGTTTGCAACAATTTATCTTTGAGTCCTTCGTGTAACTCCATGACACTATTAAAATAGATAAATATAATAAATTTTATTCGAGTATGTATGAATAAGTATGTTTGTAACGCTATTACGCATAAACCACTCAAGCAATTTTGATAAATTTTGGTACAGAGATATTTTCGACCATGGAGAATAACATAGACTACTTTTTGTTGCTAAAATATAACTTACAAGGTGTGTAAAATAGTTTGTAAGTATGTGCAACGCTGTCGCATGCAAATAAAATGACTATGAAAATGCCAATGAAAATTTTTAAATACAAATAATCCCTGTCACATAATGAAAAAAATATCAACGAATAAAATCTAGTTGAATATAGGTTAACTTACGATTTGTCCGCCATTTTGATGACAGCATATTTGGCAAGTGTAGAATGGCGGTACACCTAAACAAACAACAAATTAAATTTATAAATCCCTACTAATATTATAAATGGGAAAGTCCTGATGTTTGTTACACTTTCACGGAAAAACTACTTAACCGATCATCATGAAAATTTGTACGCATATTCTTAGTGGTCCTCGAAAGGTTATAGGCTACTTTTTATTTAATAAAAAAAATATTTTTTAAATAAAATAAAGAAATAGTTTAGCCAATAATACCTCTGCATCTGGCTATTTGACTACTTTAACGCCATCTAGCATTGAAGCTCAAACCTAAGTACTATAGTACCATCACACTGTATTATCACACTGTATTACCGACAGCTACGTCAACATCAAATCCAATTGACTACACTATGGAGACTGTACACTATACTTCCATAGACTATACTTTCAGCCATTTTAAACTTCCCGCAATTCTACTTCATTGTTACTTCTTCTGTGACTACAGACGCGTACGGAAGCAACTTCATTATTTTAGATATTCGCGAGCGAAACCGCGGGTTAAAGCTAGTTATTATATAAAAAATGATTTCGATCAATATTTTCCAAGTTTAAACAAAATGAATCATAATGTACAATCCACAATGTCTAATAATAATCATTTTATAGTGCAATTAACGCAAAACATATCATAAGTAAAAATCTATCGATTAAAGCATTTGTTTATCTGATCAATCTACCCGTACATTTATTTACGCAATAAAACACTTGAATGTTGACGTCGCGTGTAATTTTTGGGGTTTTTCGATGATATTAGCAGGTACTTACCGCTGTCGCCTCGTATTTCACCAGCGCATAGGTTTTACCCTTGGAGAAGGTGATTGAAGGACGAGCATAATTAGCCTAGAATCAAACAAATTATATTTATTTAGAGATTAATACATTTTTTCATCTTAAAAGTGGTAATTTAACCATAAAACCGTGATTAAAATACTTTAGTCACGGGGAGGAGCTTGCGCATGCGTATTTGCTAGCAGTGCAGTTTAAATGCAAAAATTAAACATGGAAATAAAGTGAAAGTAAAAAAATAGTTTTAAGCATCACTTTGCTAAACGTGGCTAAAGTACCACTTAGCGCACTTGAGACTTAATATACTATAAAACACTTTTTAACTTACCAAATCGGTCGATGACAAAAGACTTGTTGATTTTTCAGTTGTCATATCAAATAATTGAAAACCACCTTTGTCATCCGGATAAAAAATGTCTTTATCTAAAACATTGAGTAAAAAACAATGTAGGTAACAACAGATTATAATCAATCAATAAAAAACGTTATCACTTTTGGTAGCTATTAGATAATTAATTATCAGTGATAATATGAAACACTTTGTGAAACACGATGTAACTGAAATTTTGCTCACCTGAATACCAAATACCATTCCATTTCGTATCCGCAAAATTGCCCAAAATGAACTCTTCCAAAGTGAATGCTGCTTCCAGTGCGATGACGCACGAGAAACAAGCGGCGAATAAAACGCCCACAAACTGCAAATAAAATCAAATACTTAAAAATTAAAATCTATTACTTTATGAAAATTATTTTCTTACAATTGCACTCCGCATGATGTTTTTTTTTTTTAGTTTATCTTGGCGTAAACCAAGCACTCATGCGCACACAAATTTTTAAACTGATGTATAAGTAGTAGCAGGATTAGTTTAGTTTGGAGGTTTAAGTATACTTTGTGCACACTTTGAATTGAAGAGGATTTCGCTAGATAGCGACGCGCAACTGATTTTGCCTTCGCCGCCCGCGCAGTTTATAAGCACGCGCGCTGCCGGCGATAACGCGTTTCGTTAAGCTGCTAATCGCGAAATTCGCACAGCGCGAGCGCGCGCATGTTTTGCCCGCTAAGTGAAGTTTCTTGTTTGTGCAAATCTGCCGGAGCCGAGGGCGGAAGAGCACAATAAAGATATCGCTGGGAATAATTACCAATTCCAAGTGATACTAAACGATATAAAAACAGTTTTTATGGTTTCTCACAAAATACTTAAGCCACTTAAGCATATTAATTAGTTAATTTTTTTTATTTTACTTTTGACCTTTATTTTGACCAAAATAATAAAATTTTGTTATTTTCTGCATTTTTAACTAAATATTTTAATTTTTTTAATGCAAAACATGAATAAGTATAGATAATGTTTGCTTTTCTTCTTTATCATCTCAAATTCTTCTATTTTTTGATAAAATTAATACAAATAAATTACTTCTCACCGCCAAACGAAGTTTAAAAATGAACTTTTGTTAGATATGAACGTTTTACAGCCGTTATTAACTCTTTTTGTGAGGCGCGTTGAATTTTTCATACATTGCACAAGTTTTAATTATTAGTTTGTTTGAGAATACTACACATTGATTGTTTTATGGTTTGCGTAAACATTCGATGACACAGTGTATTTTCGTTGCGATCTGTGCGTCACAATCTAAGAATGAAAATAATTCGTAATCGCAATTGAGTACATTCCCCAAACACCTCGGGTACTTACCTCAATATTATCAGTATCAGTATCAATATCATTATATTCATTAACAAATAGATGGAAAGTGTTTACAACAAAGTAAAACATGAAATACTAGCTTTAGTCTGTAGTCACAGAAGAAGTAACAATGAAGTAGAATGGCGGGAAGTTTAAAATTGCAGAAAGTATAGTCTATGGAAGTATAGTGTACAGTCTCCATAGTGTAGTCAATTGGATTTGATGTTGACGTAGCTGTCGGTAATACAGTGTGATAATACAGTGTGATGGTACTATAGTACTTAGGTTTGAGCTTCATTGCTGGAATGCTAGATGGCGTTAAAGTAGTCAAATAGCCAGATGCAGAGGTATTATTGGCTAAACTATTTCTTTATTTTATTTTAAAAATATTTTTTTTATTAAATAAAAAGTAGCCTATAACCTTTCGGGGACCACTAAGAATATGTGTACAAATTTTCATGATGATCGGTTAAGTAGTTTTTGCGTGAAAGCATGATAAACATCAGGACATTCGCATTTATAATATTAGTAGGGATATATTTATTTGTTACTATAGGCAACACACAGTGCACAATGCGCTGTCATAGCTAAATCACAATGTCTACTACACTCTCTTCACTCTCTAACCTCATTTTTGTATAAATCTGCTTGCATACAATCAAAAAAACATGAAAAACTTGATGTTTTTTTAAATATTCATGTTTTATTAAATTCCCCATCCATATTTCCACCTCCTACATTATGTATCTTCATATGCACCTTAAGCGACTGGGACTGCGCAAAAGACTTATCACAAACCCCACATGAATAAGGTTTTTCACCGGTATGCAACCTTCTATGCGCTTTCAAAGAACTAGCACCATTAAATCCACGCTGACACACATCACACACATGCGTTTTTTCACCTGTATGCGTTCGCATGTGTTTCGTGAGTTCATTCGACTGACAAAACGCTTTCTGACACACACAGCACACGTACGGACGTTCACCAGTGTGTGTTCTTATATGTGCGATTAAATTCGACCGTGTGGCGAATGCTTTCGTACAAAGATGGCATCCATGTGGTCTTTCACCTAAAACAATCAAAAATATTAAAATTTTATTAATTTTTATAAAATTTCATACCAAGCCAATACAAATATACAGTACCTGTGTGTGTTCTCATGTGTTTTTCTATATCAGCTTGTTGTCGACTACTGTGTCCACAAGTATTGCATTTAAAGGGTTTTTCATCGTTGTGCATCCGCATATGCACTTTATAATTCCCACAATGCGTGAATCCTTTCATACAAACATTACATTTATAAGGTGGATCTTTTGTGTGAATACACATATGTCGATTTAGTTTTGATAAACTACTTAAAACCTTCCCACACACTTTACATTGCATATCAGATTGTTTCTTAGTACAATTATTACTTGTTTCATTAACTACGTTGACATTTACATTCATATTGTTAATTTGTACTTCTGGTTGAATCTGACTTGGTGTTTGCATGGATTCTAGCTGTACAACAGGCATTTGATACACATTATTCACACTGTTGTATTGTACAATATTTTCATTGGTTTCTGTGTTGAAATTCACATGTGGTTCGTGTGATTGCTCACCAATCGAGATAAAATTCGGTGTAATGATTGGCACACATTCAATGTACATGCTATTGTTGATTGCAACTTGTGGTGGTTCTTGTATTGTGTCTAATTGTGTTTCATTAGGCGGATTTTTGCTTTTTATTATGATTTCACGCAGTTTTGAGTCGGATTTCTCACAGAGTTTCTTGAATTGGAAGGATATATGCAACCTGGCTGTGCATTTGTTGCAGATTTGGTTTGGTAAACCATCATCTGGCCATACCTATGAATAATATTCAATAAATTAGTTTTTTGTGGTGAATTATAATAAATTATGGAAATATTTACTTGGACTGAAGCACAAGACATGATTTTCTTTGAAATATTCACTTTGAACACTGACATCATGTTGCCTTTGTTGAGACAAACACGACACACCTTTTTAATGTCGATTTCCATTGATTACAACTTGTTTTTCATTCAATTTTTAAGGTTTTTGTGGATTTGTTTACATCTTTAGCTGGTAGCAAGGTTAAAATTCAGTAGTAAGTAGCTTCTGGACTTTAGGAGACAGATAATTGTGTAAAATTTTAGTTAAATCTTATTCTTTTTGTAGTGTAAAGCAACATCCGATATGGTCTAGTGGCTAGGATAGCTGGCTTTCACCCAGCAGGCTCGGGTTCGATTCCCGGTATCGGAAATTCCTTTTGTTTATTTAACTCCTTATTTTATTTTTTTATTTGCAAAGTTTAATAAAATTACACTTAATACTTTTTTCTTTGTGATTTTAACACAAAATGGCTTCCTAAACATTAAAACTAATAAAAACATGAATATTCTCATATTAAACCAATAGAAAATAATAAAACTATCAAAATTACTTGCTGTTTTTATTATAAAACTACCTACCATTGTATTTCAATAAATTATAATTTATTCTAAAGTATTTTCGTGTAACTAATAACTTATAACAAACTTTTCTTTTATTAATATGTCATAACAAATTCCATTATGACACATCTATTTTCCGTGTATATTGTGTTGCCTACCTCACCCACCTGAACCCTGCACAAATGTTCTAACCAATAAGCGCAATCCACATCGTTGTCGTCATGCGTGTCCAACGAACGCTGGCGAATGATGAACCGTTGAGCTGTCCGTTTTATCGCCGAACCGAAAAAGTGCTGTCAGGCCCACAAGCCGCCAAACTTCCAGCGATCTCCTGCAATACAATTGTGATGTGTCTGTAAACCTAGTGATCATCAACGGAACGCACATACAAGATGACTAAAGTGCACGTTTTCTACACGCTCATTCCGCTCCTGCTGCTTTTCACCTGCATAAGTCTTGTGCTCGCAGGCCGGGACTTCTATAACATTCTCGGGGTGTCGAAATCCGCGACTTTGCACGAAATTAAGAAAGCATATCGTCGACAAGCGAAAGAACTGCATCCGGATAAGAATAAAGATGATCCGGACGCGTCGAGAAAGTTTCAGGATCTCGGAGCTGCCTATGAGGTAAAAATTAAATAAAAACTCAATAAAAGAAACACTAAAATTTTTAATTTTACAGGTATTATCAGATGAAGACAAGCGAAAAAAGTATGATAGATGTGGTGAGGATTGTCTACAAAAGGACGGCATGATGGACAATAACTTCGATCCATTCGCGAGCTTTTTCGGTGATTTTGGTTTCCATTTCGGCAATGAAAACCAACAGCATGAGACACCAAAAGGTGCTAATGTTGTAATGGATGTAATGACAACATTGGAGGACTTGTATTCCGGCACATTCGTTGAAATCACACGGTTTAAACCTGTGATGAAAGCGGCGAAAGGCACGAGAAAGTGCAATTGCCGACAGGAGATGGTCACGCGGAATTTGGGCCCTGGAAGGTTCCAGATGATCCAGCAGACTGTCTGTGATGAGTGCCCCAATGTAAAACTAGTCAATGAGGAGAGAATATTGGAAATGGAGATTGAACCTGGCATGGTTGATGGGCAGGAAACAAAATTCACTGCGGAAGGTGAACCACACTTGGATGGAGATCCTGGGGATCTTATACTTAGGATTAAGACACAGCCACATCCTGTTTTCGAGAGGAAAGGAGACGATTTATATACCAATATTACTATTAGTTTACAGGTAAGTGAATTTTAAGGTTATAAAAACATTTTTGACGTTTATTCTTAAAATATTGCAAATATTTAAAAACTTTTAAGCGGATATGATGCAGAATTAAATTCTCTTTCAATCAATATGCATATCAATACTCTGCTTTTAATATTTCCGGAGATATTTCACTTTTTAAGCTCAAAAAAACTGTTTTTAAGTGGCGCCCTCTACAACTATAATATCCCTTATTAATTCTCAGGATGCCCTCACTGGTTTCACCTTGGAAATAAAACACCTTGATGGTCATCCCGTGTCAATCAGTAGAGATAAAGTGACGTGGCCAGGTGCACGTATAAGAAAGAAGGGCGAAGGTATGCCAAATTATGACAACAACAACCTCCACGGCATCCTGTACATTACATTCGACGTGGAGTTCCCCAAGGAGGAGTTCAGCGACGAGAACAAGAAGGCTATCAAAGACATCCTTAACCAAAGCTCCAACAATAAGGTGTACAACGGTCTGCGTGGATACTAGCTAATTTATTATTATTGCGTTATTGTGTTTAATTTATGAAAGGTTTCCACCACTGATTGTGTTTCATTTCGTATTGATTGTACATAGATGCACTGATTTCCATGAAATGCAGTGTGGAACATGATGCTGATGAACTGACAAGACTTTACATGCACAATACGAAATTATAAACGAATGAAGTGACGTTGTTTGCTTTGCGTACCTAAATATTGACGATGATGATAGGTAATTTTATGTTTAAAAAGTGATGAAGGGTTTTTTTAGCCAATGTTTGTTGGTTTGCATTTAAAAAATCAGGTTTTTGTACTGAAAATAACAAAAACTTGATTGAATTCTTCATATTATTTATTTATTTGGGTAAATCAATAATAAGTTAATTTGTAGTCTGCTCCATCTTTCAATATTTTAGATTCTTTGACTTTAGTTAGTTATAAATCGTCGTAATGTTCACCAATGAACATAAAATCATATATTTCTTCAATTTTATTCTTTATTTTTCAACATACGCCGCAAATTTAACGAAAATCATACAAAACGAACAATGCGTGATTATATTAAGCGATGAAAACACCTTGGCAACCAACATTTCAAAAACACTCTGGAATTCAACGTTAAACTCAGTAATACATATGAATTCAACGATATTTTATCAAGATTATGATTTATTTTGCCAACCAACTACTTATATCATGATATTTCAACAACAAAACGATGTTGATCGACTTACAAGAAATATTTTCATGTTAAAAACACATACAAAGTTATTTTTCATGGGAAAAACATCGTTAAATACTACTAAACTAGAGGAAATGTGTTTTATCAGGTTTATTAACATGTTTTATGTTAATTTTACAACTGATAATGTTAATATGGACATAAAAGATAACAATAATTATATTGAACATAACCTCAATAGGAAACTACTAAAAGTTTTATGGTTTTCATATGGACCATACGTTTATGAATCAAACGGACGTATAAATGGAATAGAACCCAAAATATTAACACATCTAGCTCAGGAAATGACTCTAAATTACGTTTATTTTGATAATAAGACTTGGACAGGTCAAATATTGCATCTGGTTGATAACACAGCGGATATATCAATATCTGGCCATTGGTTGTCACAAATTCTTGCTCTTGGTGGTGAAGCAACAGTGCAATACGCTTCACTATCAAGTACTTTTCTTATTCCTAGACCTGGATTACTTCCAGCTACAACCTATGTTTTTCAAACGTTGAATTCTAAAGTATGGATATTGCTGATATTTACAATCATAATTTATTCTGCAATATTACATTTGGTAGACTGGGTTTTGACTAATTTTATGCACAAAAACACAAACAGAATTTATGGTAGAAAAGATTATAACTATATTATCATCATAATCAGTTATTTAACAATGACACCAACACCACAACCATCAAAATATTCAATCATCAGACTACTAATACTCTTCTGGACTATCATAGCCATTATTTTAACAACATCTTTCTCTGCTGGTCTGTCATCAATTGCCATGATCCCCAGAAGGTACAAACCTATAGAAACAATGACAGATCTAGCAGAAGCAGATATTCCATGTTATACATTGGAATATTACATAAGAGACTTACTAAAAGAATCAGAATTGAAGTCTGCACAAAAGTTGCAAGTAATATGTTTGCCAGAGAGCATAGTCCATCACCAGGTGCCTGTATCTGTCAAGAAGTAGTTGTATTACATGATAATATCTTGATACCTTCATATCTTGATGAGTTAAATGAAGAAACACTTATGTTATTCAAGGAAAACCTACATGAGACTTACAATGTCATAGCATTGGCTAAAAACTCACCGTACAAGAAAATATTCAATAGAAAACTGAATCAATTGATGGAACATGGGTTTATTACAAAGTGGATCAGTGAAGAGAAGTCTCAGACAAGTATTGCTGACGTTTTTAAAGGATTTCAATTGAAAATCATCAGAAAACAAAGTTTACAGTTGTATAAGTTACAGGGAGCTTTTATTTTGTTGTTTATTGGTGATATTATTGCATTTGTTGCATTTTTACATGAAAATTATGTTTTACAATAACAAAATATGGGTTTAGTTCAAAGTAAACCAGTGAAAAGCAGTTTCAGAGAAGTTTTGTTGATTTATTCAATGAATTTCAACTGAAAATCATCAAGAAACACAGTTTACAGTTTTATTTTGTTGTTGATTGGTGATATCATTGCTTTTGCTGCATTTTTACATGAAAATTATGTCTTACAATGATAAAACATGGGTTAATTACAAAATGGATCAATTAAGGAAAGTCTCAGACAAGTATTTCAACTGAAAATCATCAGAAAACAAAATTTATAGTAAAATAAATTACAAGATGTTTTTATTTTGTTGTTTATTGGTGATATTATGGCATTTTCTGCGTTTTTACATGAAAATTATGTCTTACAATAACAAAATATGGGTTTAGTTCAAAGTGAACCAGTGAAAAACAGTTTGAGAGAAGTTTTGTTGATTTATTCAATGAATTTCAACTGAAAAGCATCATTAAACACAGTTTACAGTTTTATTTTGTTGTTGATTGGTGATATTATTGCATTTTCTGCGTTTTTACATGAAAATTATGTCTTACAATGATAAAACATGGGTTTATTACAAAATGGATCAATTAAGGGAAGCCTCAGACAAGTATTTCAACTAAAAATAATCAAAAAACAAAATTTATAGGTAAATAAGTTACAAGGTGCTTTTATTTTATTGTTTATTGGTGATATTATTGCTTTTGCTGCGTTTTTACATGAAAATTATTTCTTACAATAACAAAACAGTTTAGCATACACATCATGAACACATTTACTTTGATTTCCATACAAATTTAATCGACTTATTGTTCCTAATAAGTTGTATTCATTAGAATCGTTGTATTTTCTTACTGTGGCTTCAAAAATACCTCCACCTGGTATAGTTCTAAAGGTAACAGTATAATCTTCATAATTTACATTGGAATTGGACACAAAATGGCGTCCATCTAAGATTACATTCAATAACAAGTTGTAACACTCGTCATATTGCTTTAGTAATGCATTAATATGTTCATTAAGAGTAAAATTTACAACTTTTATGATTTCTGGATGATCTGGGGACAAAGCATTGCTTTCTTTGCATGTACACCAATGAGGATCAATTCCTGCATCATCACAAGTGCGTTTATTTGATATTTCTTCAAATAAACTGATTCCTAAGCTGTTTTTATTAGTTTTTTGATAGTTTTTAACGTCAGATAAATGTAATAATGTCTGATGCACATCATATAAAGTTATTAGTCTTTCCCTGTTAATTTTTAGGTTATTATAAGCTTCTGAATGTTTTTTACGGTACCATTCAGGTAAAACAACAAAAAGAAAAGGTAAACGATCTTCTAAAACCCCTTGATAAGTATTTCTGAACTCTCCAAAACGCATTCCATGATCACTCATTAAAATCAACGCAGTGTCATTCAATTCCAGTCCACTTAACCAATTTCGATAACTATCATCACCCAACTTTGCCATATTCAAATAATCATGCGTTAAACTTGTAGTCCAGAAGTATCCAAAGTGTTTCCGTTTATTTTCGTTCATAGTTATTGCATAATTACTCACATAATCCAATAATACTTCATATCTTGCTCTAGATCCAATACATTGATTTATACCAGAGAATTTTGTGTTGCCTACATTATTTTCAGCAATAAAATCAAAATGGTTGTAATAATAATCAGTGGGTTGCTCATGAAATCCACGTCTTTCATAGGTAAACAATCCAATATTAGCTGTATCTTCACCAAACGCAGTTATATATCCATTGGATTTGAATTTATCCCAAATAAATTCACAATCATCATAAAAAGAATCATCAGTTGGTCTGCATGCGTTATTTAATTCTGTTTCATTATGTCCGGATAGCATAACAATTAGGTTAGGAAATGAATTGTCTCCTATTTTGTTATAACCTAACATTTCAACCGCTTGGAGTTCTTGCAAGTATTCAACGGTTTTCGGCATTTGGCGATGTAAATTCATTCGGGAAACGGCGTCTATTCCAAGAATCAATACATTTAGTTGATCTTCATTAGTAGTATAATCATTATCTTGATTTTCTATTGGTTTTAATGAGATTGAAGCAAAATAATCTTCATAAATCATTTGGGTTGTATCATCACGACTTCTGCATTCAATTTTAACAAAATCCTTGTTTTTATCAATCAAGAAATCATTAGTAAACTGTACACATTCTTCAAAGTCGATTTGTGTGTCTTTTTCGTCATTATTCGGACATCTTCTTTTGAAATATTGATAACAACAGTCAAGGTTATCGCTAGTTACGTTGTACGTTGATAACGCATCGTGTAGGAGATGAATCGAGATAAAATCAGACTGAAATAATGGTCCCACGCCTTCATTGCATACAATCGGTGGCATATCATAAATTAATTTACGAATTTTTGCGTTGGTTATGCTTAAATTTGGTATGGAACATCCTGGAGTGTTGAAAATGTGCGCATTTTTTGATTTTGAGGTTATGATTGGTAGTTTTTGATTGATAGTGTAATAACTTAGTAGAATAATGCTAACTAGAGTTATTAGAAGTAAATACCTGTATAATTTTGCTAAATGTTTCAAATTTCGTGGTTTACTAAAAGAAAATAATTTATTTATTAATTTGTTTATAAATATTGTTAAATTTTTGCACCTGAACATATTTTCGTCTATTTTAAATACTATTACGTGACTTTAGGCGATTAAGAACTATCGAAAGTACTGATAGCGTAGTATCAATTTATTATCAAAAATAAATAAACAAATATTAATATTTAGTAAAAAAACTATTTTTAAACCTTTACAGTTAAACTTACTGCAACCATCCGGTATTGTCTAGTGGCTAGGATATCTGGCTCTCACCCAGAAGGCCCGGGTTCGATTCCCGGTACCGGAAATTCTTTTTACGTTTTTAGCATTAATTTATCATTTAATATTTATACAAATTATTTGCAACAATTTTCATTGTTTTCCTTGAACTACCAAAACTCTAAACAAGTACATGTACAAGTACAAGTATACTAAAATTTAATGTGTCTACAACGCTAACACTCAATCGCAAACATTTTATACGCGTAATTAGCATAGAATAGTCGTTAACCATCCACATATATCCAACGACGTCGCAATGCGCGAACAAAAGTCCTCCCATAACAATTCTACATTCGTATTACTAGTCGAAATGAATATTAAATGAGTTTTTGATGCTTTTCATGTCTTCACGCTTCTCACATCGAACGACAAACTTGGATAATATACAGAATGTTATCATAAAAGTGTTTCACATTGTTTTATTATTATTAATAATGTTATTACGTATGATAATCACAGTGTTATTATGTTTCTATTGTTTATTTTAAAATTACATACTAATAAAAATGTATTGTAGTTATAGCGCACACCGCAAGAGGTCGCCACCAATGCCAAGCCACGCGAATATTCTTTTCTGCAAACTGCTGCTGCTGCAGTCAGTCAAACTACGCAGAGTTGTTTATGCTCTTATCGTGCTCTTATCGCAAACCGGCTTTGTTGAGACTTGTTGAGACTTGTTGAGAGTGCCATGCAGCGAATCAGTTTGTAAAGAGTGTTTTGGTTGAACGTGTCTTATTGCGGCGTGGCGTGATTTCTTCTGATTTTAAGTATTATCTTTGATTTATTTCGTTTAAATTGTGAAAGTGTGCGTCACATGATGCCGGTGGTAACTGTAATGGCTGGTAACTATTAATATTTGTCTTTGGTATTGTTATTTTCTTTAAAATTATAATTTCGGGGTAAAGTTATGAAAGATTTACGGGTTGTATGTATTTGTACATGTTCTTTATCTGTACAATGCTTGCAACTTGCCAATACTTGAATATTGTATTTGTGTAAGTGTTTTGTGTGTTATTTTCAAGCCACTTGCATTGTTTACAAGTGGTTTTTATGATAAGTGTTTGAAGATTCATGCTAAGGTAAGTTATACAAATACATTTCACATGAAAAATCTCAACCATTTGCATGTACAATCTAACAGAATTTTATTTCAGACGCAAAAGATGAAAATTCATCCCAAAACTAAGAAAAATCACAAAATGAAAGCGGAAAACTTCAAAATCTTCAAGAAATGGATCAACAGCAACATGTGGACATTGATTCTACAAAGAAAAAAGATTATCATTGATACGCATCGATTATTTTTCATGATTAACAACATAATTTTGCTTAATTATAATTTTTTCAATGAAATTAGGTTCATGGTACAACAAACATTCAACTAGGCAACCTGCAAAGCACGGAAATCCTCCAAAACATATGCAACACCAATTAGGAAGTACAACTTAACACTGGCGTCACTTCCTGCACCAAGATCCAATCAGAAACAGACAGAAATGAGAGCCACAGGCAAGTTTATGGTATATTTCTTTCCATTTATTTTTATTTTCACTGATTTACTCCAATTTCACCCAATTTTCTATTTTTTAACGCCACAAAGTCATCACAAATTACTTAATTCCATCATCACACAGTTTTTACTGAGATAAACACAAAAGTTTTCTTATAATCTTCATAAAACTATAATTTTCATGATGTTTTATACCATATTCTACATTTTAACCCAAATAACTTAAACTATTTGTATATTACAATGTGTTTACCTGATACATTCTTATCTCATGCGTTTGATATTGTTTGAACGAGTGCAAATCTCAATCGCGCGCGTGTGCGTTCGCGATCCGCGCAGTTTGCGCGAAACTCCGCAAGGAGCGCGGCGCTCTCGCAGGCGTCCCGGCGGCGACCCTGCTGCAGTAAACGGCCGGAGCCTGAGCGGTCTATGTCAGGATAGGCGTCGCGCCGCGCTGCCCCCGGTCGAACACCCGCGACCCGTGTGCGCGCCGACAGTGCGAAACAAAACCATCAACTCCTCTCTTAATAATATCTTCATCAGCACAAGATATAAATCACACCTTTTAATCAACATACAAAACGCACCACTTGTAAATTGCTTTGCATTGAAAGTTTTTCACGTCGAAAATTCGAAATCCACCGCGGCGGCAACAGGAAGCGGCGGATGAAAGTGCGCGACGCTATGTCGCAGAGTGCGGGCAAGAAGTGCTGCTTCTTCGGGGGAGGCAAGGGTGGCGAGCGGCTGCAGGAGCGCCCGACTCGCAAACGGGTTGGATTTTAATACCGCAAGCAAAGGTAACACTTAGCTTCTATTTTTATTTTAAATTAAAATTAAAACCACTCTAGTAGAGTTGTTTTATGCTGCGGATGAGATTTCGAATGGAATTTTGTCTTGAGGAGGTGGTGGCGCGCGCGCCGCCGACAAACAGGTTGCGGTATTATCATGCGTCTCTCCTCCGCCCTGCCAACTTGCTACCGCTGCCTCCGCATGATGGAATTTTCGGTGCGGGCGAAATCACGGCGGACGTGTTGCTTTTGCGTGTGGCGATTTCATCTTTATGCGCGAAATTTCCGCAATTTTCTCTTAAATCGGCGTCATTTGAATAAAAATCAGCGCGATATTCAGCGAGTATTGACGCGGGGAGAATGGTGGAAAATGAAGACAAGATAAAAAATTCGAATGAATACGTCGCTAATGAGCTAAAGACGGAAAATTACGGCGTTTTATGAGTGCTCAACTGTTAACATTGATTTTGACGGTTGGGGAAGCTTGGAATTGCAGTTTTTGTGTAATTTTTGTGGGAGTATTTAAAATTATGAAGAATTGTTTAAAATATTGGTAAACATTAAAGTTTTGGAGGTTTTATGCATCAAAATCGATGAATTTTGAGGTTAGAAGTTAAAAACTAACAAAATTTAGTGTTATTGTGGTTTAATTTAATGAAAAAATCATGAAAATAGGTAAATATTGAGGTTATTTCATCATAAGTATGATTATAACCTATAAAACAGCAATAAAAATTGAAGTTTTACATATTTATTGGCTTAAAATAGATAAATATTGAGGTTATAAGTTAAAAACTAACCAAATTCAGTGTTTTTGTGGTTTTTTTTGGTTTAATTTAATGAAAAAATCTTATAAATAGGTAAATATTGAGGTTATTTCATCATGAGTATGATTATAACCTCTAAAACAGCTAGAAAAATGAAAATTTTACATATTTATTGGCTTAAAATAGATAAATATTGAGGTTAGAAGCTAAAAACAAGCAAAATTTGGTATTATTGTGGCATTTTTATCTAATTTTATGAAAAACTCATAAAAATAGGTGAATTTTGAGGTTATTTCATCAAAAGTTTGATTTTAACCTAAAAATTAGTAAAATTTTGTATTGTTATGACATTTTAATGCAACAAAATGAAAATTTCAGTGAAAATTTGAGTTTTAAGAGTAAAATATCTGAAAATAAATAGTTTTTGAGGTTATTATGCGGTTATAACCTCAAATAGAACAAAATGTAATAGTTTTTATATAATTTAAAGCAGAAAAATGTAGATTCTTGGTCGTTTTTTGTTTGCGGATGTTTGGAAATTAGTTTCTTGTCGTCGGTATGCCGAATTGCTCGATGGGGCAAGGCGCAAAACTTTGTTTTGCAAGTCGCTCGGAAAAATGTCGTTTGTGTAGTAACGTCGCGCTCGTTCCAAGTTCGCCGCCGCCGTTGCCGCCGTCGCTTAATGGAAGAATTCTGTTTGCTTTCGCCGCTGATCTATATTTATTCACCATACATTTTTACGCAAAATTACGGATTTATTATAAAATCTAATATAAAATAATCTCAAATTGCGAAATTTTATTTTTAATGATGTAGGAGTTTTAATTGCTCCTGCCTGTTGCGATGCGCATTTCGATATCTATTTATACGCTGGTATCTTATGTCGGGCGAGGGCTGCGTGTTATTATTCTTGCGTCCTAATTCGATTCGATTTTATTATTTGCTTCGCCGATTCGTCGATTTGCCGATTGGGAATTCGAGCGCGGGAAAATCGCGCCGTAATTGCGTTAGTACATTATCCGGGGCGCGTGGAATTTTTGCACGAAGGGCATTATCTTCGACGTATCACTAGCCGGAAAGGCTTAATGCGCTCGGATGGCTGTAATAAATATTCCTTTATTTTTCATCGTATAAAGGTAGTGAAACTAATGTTTGCGCTAAATTCCGGGCAAATAGTGTTGTTACCTGAGTTTTAAGTACTAACATTTATAGTTTTTCTCTTGAAATAAAAATTAGGACTTAATTTAGGTTAGGTGTTGAGTTATAGGGGTTTCTTGGGGATTTTGAGGTTAATTTTAGGAGTTTTTAAGATTAAATTTAATTTTTAGTCAGTAAAAACTGAAGTTTTATGTGTTTTTGTTGGTTTATTGTTAAAAATAAAATTTAGGACCTAATTTAGGTTAGTTTTGATGATTTTTGTTCATTTTAAGGTTAATTTTAGGAGTTTTAAAGTTTAACTTCAATTTTTACTCAGTAAAAACTTTAGTTTTCTATTTTTCTGTTTGTTTACCTTCAGAAATTAAAACTAGCTCTTAATTTAGGTTAGTTTTTGACTTACTTATGAGTTTTCCATTATTTGAGGTTAGTTTTCGTATTTTTTACGTTTAACTTCAATTTTTAGCTCATAAAAACAACAAAATACATAAAAAATGTTCTTAAATTGACTTTCTATTAATGTTTTATTCAATTTTTAATGATTTTTAAACGTTTCACATCGTTAAAAGCACTAAAACCTATTTTTTTCAACTCAGAAACCTGTGAATGCATGAAAATAAAAAACTCGCGCGCGATATTAATGGCAGGCGTGTTACACTTAATCGCAAGGTGTTAATGTAACAACCAGCAGCATGCGAACCGGCGATTTAATGCGATGTTTTGGCACGCTCGTTAAGAAAACTTAAATTTATTATGTTTTGACCGATCTATCAGATGCTAAACCATAGTTATTTTATTAGTTAAACAACACGTCGCACGTTCGCGGAAATTTAACTGCGAAACAAAAATCTCTTTCCGAAATACTTCCTTATTCGCCCTGGTACAAAGCCTAACTGTTTCCTGTCCGTTTCGTTTTCATCCTTTACACATCCTTTAGTTTTTTCTTCTTTTTTTTTGCTTTATTCTTATTACTTTATCCGCTTTCTCATATCATTCCTAATGCCATTCCTATTTATTATCCCCGTCTTTCGTCATAAACCTACAAAGATAGAAATAGAAAAGATAGAAGCGAGTCGAGGAGCTCTTTTTCGGTGCGAGTCCGATGACTTGGCGAGTTTGCTTCAATCTATAAAACCATAAAACACGAAAACAACCCGTCCCGAAACGAGAATTACGACGAAATTATTCGCCGCTGGATAAAAATTGAAAGACGGAAAATTGCACGAATGGGAAACGGAAGCGGGCGCGCTGGATGAACGAATCCATCGATGGAGATAAAGGGGAGATGTAAGAAACAGCCGAAATGGCTTTAGGATGAGTGCAAAAAGATTCATTATCTCGATTCGTTTTCGAAACACAATTATGTTAGCTTTATATGGGTATATGTTGTATTGGTGTATGTTGGGTTGCATACTCGTAAACGTCAACGTTGCATAACGCAACTGTTACACTTAAAAAGCTAACCTAACGCAGCTTGTGCACGGCACACGGCGTTTCGTTTTGTTTGTGCACCGTTGATTGATTTCAATTTGCTCGCGAATCAAACAAACAACACGACCGACAGCAGAACATCACAACGGCACGATACATGTAATACAAGGTATTGAATAGTAACGGAAATTGAGTTAATTTGTGAAATAATTTGTAAAATTCTTGTAGGTATGTCGTAAATTTTGTTAATTCGAATGTAATCGATCATTCGGCGAGCAAATCCCATCAATAAATAGCATCAATTAGTCGAAATTTATTAACGCGTTGGATTTGCGTCGTGTCGTCATAAATAAACCGATTAAACGTCGGATTAACTCGAAAAAACAAACGTAAAGTATGATAAAGTTAGGTTATGGTGCATTTTGGTAAAGATTGTGTAAATAGTGCGAATTATGTGGTGGAATTTCGGATTGTTAATACTTAGTTGGCAAAAATATGTTCATGCACTACTGGCGGCGGTATTAGCAAAGCGAGCGCCGGATTTTAAAGCCAAAAACGTGGTATGAGCGGTGGTCATAAAGCCAGAAGCTGAAAACCGGAAAACCCGAAAGCAGAAAGCGCTAAAGCGCACCTTATCGTTGCCGGTGCAGTCCACTGTCCACTTTTCCACCCACGGCTTATAATTTATTTAATTCCAGAGAAAGAAAATTAAATTAAAGTTATGCAACCAAACATACACCATGGCTTTGGTAGTATAGAACTTGTTGATTAAAAATGTGAAGGGAAAGTTTATTGCGGTAAACGGGAAAACAAAGATATTTGTACGGTTGTTGTTCTCTTTAAATTGTGAAATCCTTTTAAGCCAACGACTCACGACGCCGCTGCCGAGAGAAGGAAAAAACGCAACTTTTTGTTGGTGTGTTTATTCAAAGGTGGATAAATCGTCGGGCGGGCGTCTTGACGCCGGAACCGGAAAAGTCTAAAATTTGCGGCGAGAAATGTAAAACAGTGCAGGCTGAAATGCGAAAAAATAAAGCGAATGTTTTTAAGTGGATGCTGGTAAACAGGCGCACAAGACGCAAAACGAAAAAATAAGAAGCCGAGCTATAGAGTTATATACAACGCAGGGCGGCTGTGGCTGTGGCTGCGAACGAAAAAGAGTAAACAGTTTTTCGTGCATTTTTTATAAAGGCAAGCGTCGCGTGCCTTCCATCCATGCACCGCTAGAAAAAGCGTTGCAGGCGATTTCACTTTTCAATAACTCAGCGCCCATCATAACTCTAGCCGGCGTTAGGACTAGAGCTATTGAATAAGTAAAAACTCTTAGGAAATTGAAACCTGACGGTTTAAAACCTGCGCGACTAAAAAATTTCGTGTTTAAAAAGTGTTTTTTTTTTTTGTAAGAGCGGGAATGAATTCTTCATCATTGAATACTTTAAATATAATTTACGATTGTTTAATGTTTGATGGCAGAAATTACCATAGTAAATCAACGTCAAGGCTGCTGAAGCCGAAGTTAAAACGTTGAATGTAATAAAATTTATAACTCGACGGCGGGAACGCGGGAAAGATTCGCGATAACCAGTTTGCGGATAGTTCTACTCAACTATCATTACTTTATCATCATGACTTATGTGCACACGCTGTGCACACCTT